CTAAGGATTCCTATGGATTCCTATGGATTCCTACGGTTGCCTCAGCCTGCCTCAGTTTCAGCCTCAGCCTCAGCCTGCCTCGGCTTGCCTCAGCCTCAGCCTCAGCCTGCCTCGGCCTCAGCCTCAGCCTGCCTCAGCCTCAGCCTCAGCCTGCCTCGGCCTCAGCCTGCGTCAGCCTCAGCCTCAGCCTGCCTCAGCCTCAGCCTCAGCCTCAGCCTGCCTCGGCCTCAGCCTCAGCCTGCCTCAGCCTCAGCCTCAGCCTGTCTCAGCCTGCGTCAGCCTCAGCCTCAGCCTGCCACAGCCTCAGCCTGCTTCGGCCTCAGCCTCAGCCTCGGCCTCAGTCTGCCTCGGCTTGCCTCAGCCTCAGCCTCAGCCTGGTTCGGCCTCAGCCTGCCTCGGCCTCAGCCTGCCTCAGCCAACCCTCCTTCCCCCCCCGCCCCCTTCCCCCCCGCCCCCCCATTCAGCCTTACCTTGTCTCAGCTTCGGCCTGCCTCGGCCTCATCCTCAGCCTCAGCCTCAGTCTCAGCCTCAGTCTCGGCCTGAGCCTGTCTCGGGTCAGCCTCAGCCTCAGCCTGCCTCGGCCTAAGCCTGCCTCAGCCTCAGCCTCAGCCTGTCTCAGCCTCAGCCTGCCTCAGCATCAGCCTCAGCCTCAGCCTGCCTCGGCTTGCCTCGGCCTCAGCCTCAGCCTGCCTGAGCCTCAGCCTCAGCCTCAGCCTGCGTCAGCCTCAGCCTCAGCCTGCCTCAGCCTCAGCCAGCCTCAGCCTCAGCCTCAGCCTGCCTCAGCCGCAGCTTGCCTCAGCCTCAGCCACAGCCTCAGCCTCAGCCTGCCTCAGCCTCAGCGTCAGCCTCAGCCTGCCTCGGCTTGCCTCAGCCTCAGCGTCAGCCTGGTTCGGCCTCAGGCTCAGCCTCAGCCTACCTCAGCCTGCCTCAGCCTTTCAGCCTCAGCCTGCATCAGCCTCAGGCTCAGCCTCAGCCTGCCGCAGCCTCAGTCTCAGCCTGCCTCAGCCTCAGCCTGCCTCAGCCTCAGCCTCAGCTTGCCTCGGCCTCAGCCTCAGCCTGCATCAGCCTCAGTCTGCCTCAGCCTCAGCCTGCCTCGGCCTCAGCCTCAGCCTGCCTCGGCGTGCCTCAGCCTCAGCTTCGGCCTGCCTCGGCCTCAGCCTGCTTCGGCCTCAGCCTGCCTCAGCTCGGGCACTCAAAATATGGCACAGGACTTGTGTTCTGGGAACACGAATATCACGACGTGGCCAACAGTTGGCTCCAGGCAATCATAATGTGGTACAGGAATTGTGTTCTGGGAACACGAAGACCACGAAGTGGCCTACAATTGGCTCCGCGCATTCAAAATGTGGCCTGGGAGTTGCGTTCTGGGAACACGAAGAACACGAAGTGGCCTACAATTGGCTCCGGGCATTCAGAATGTGGCCTGGGAATGGTGTTCTGGGAAGACGAAGAACACGAAGTGGCCTACAGTTGGCTCCGGGCTTTCAACATGTGGCCTGGGAATGGTGTCCTGGGAACAGAATCTGTAGGAATCCATAGGAAACTGTGGGAATCTATAAAAGTCCTGGGGAGTCCCCGGTTTCCCCGGGCATCCCCCGGATCCTGCCCAGACCCCCAGGGGAATCAGGATGCTCTCTTCTGACCCCACAAGAAACCTATCAGTCTTCGCTGTTAGGTAATAACAATAGTCGTGGTAGTTGTAGTAGCAATAGTCGTGGTAGTTGAGGTAGTAGATGTATCAATAATGGTAGTGGTAGCCGTAGTTGTAGTAGAAGTGGTGGTGCGAGTGGTGGGAGTAGTAATAGTTATCGTTGTGTGGGCAGTGGGAGTAGTAATGATAGTAGTGATAGCAGTAGTCGTAGTAACGAACATCATAATGACGTCGTCGTCGTGGTCGGAGTGGTAGCGATGGAAAAACAAAGCATCGTAGAAGTAGTCGTAGAATTAGTATTAGTAGTAGTACCAGTAGTGGTCGTAGTCGCAATAGTAGCAGTGGGAGTAGTGATACATGTAATAGTCGCAGAAATCGTAGCGCAATGATAGCCGCAGCCGCAAGAGCAGAATAAGTAGTAGTGATAGTAGCAGTGGAATTAACATTGAGTAGTCGTGAAAGAAACATCATCCAGCGGCAAGATAAGCAGCCGTAGTAGTAGTAGTAGTAGTAGTAGTAGTAGTAGTAGTAGTAGTAGTAGTAGTAGTAGTAGTAGTAGTAGTGGTAATAGTAGTAGTAGCAGTAGTAGTAGCAATAGTGATAGTAGAAGTGATGGAAGTAGTAGTAACGGTATTAGCAGTACTAGCAGTAGCAGTAGTAGTAGCAACAGCAGTAGGAAAAGTAGTAGTAGCAGCGAGGTAGTAAGACGAGTAGTAGTGGCAGTAACACCCGTAGCGGTACTACTAGTACGACTAGTCGTACTAATCGTTGAATTAGTCGTAGTAGTCGTAGTAATAGTGTTAAGGGTTGTAGTAGTAGTTGTGCTGGTCGTAGTCGCAGTACTAATCGTAGTCGTAGCGGAAGTAGTCACTGCAGCAGTAGCACGAGCATTCGTGAAAGGCGAAGGGAAGACGGACAAGTAATTTCGGAAACAAATTCGGACGTTATTCAACCCCCTCCTGATTGAAACAAGAAAACTCAAGACTATTCCCAGGTCCTCGCGTCATGGATCTCATCTCGGGGTCTTCGGGCAATATTGAAACCTGCGAAGAACAAAATTCCCGAGGGGGCAAGAGGGGAACACCGGATATAGCAAAAGTGGCTGTAGTAACCGCAATAACAGTAGTAACAATAGTACTACCAATAATAATATGAGTGGTAGTAGTCGTAGTCGTAGACACCGCAAACATATATGTGGACTACATCGGCGTAGAACTCGTAGTCGCAGCACTCGTCATCTGAGTAGTAATCGTGCAAAGAGTACTCGTGGTAGTAACAACCGTACTAATAGCAATCACGATAATAGCAGTAACTAGAGTAGTAGTCGTAATACTAATATTAACAATGGTCGCAGTCGAAGTCGCGGTAGTAGTGGTGGTAGTAGTAGCGGTCGTGGTAGCAGTCGTAGTAGTAGTGGTAGTAGTCGTAGTAGTAGCAACCGTACTACTAGTAATCGCTGTAGCGGTAGCAAAGCTGACAGCAGTAGTCGTCGTAGAATAATAGAAGTCGTCGTCGTAGTAGTTGTACTTGAACTAGAACAAATACCAGTAGTATGAGTAGTAGTAGTAATCGTAGCAGCAGTAGTAGTAGTAGTAGTAGTAGTAGTCCTCGTATTCGAAGTAGTAGTAGTAGTAGTAGTAGTAGTGGTAGTGGTAGTGATAGTAGTGCTAGACGTCGTCGTAGTCGTAGTACCAGTAAGAAGTCGCAGTAGTAGTAGTAGTAATAATAATAGTAATAGTAAGTTTCGCAGTCGTAGTAGTATTCATGGTAGAATTGATTAGTTGCAACAGTATGAGTCTCATGTAGGGGTAGGCCTAGTAGTATTAGTAGTTGTAGTAGTAGTAATAGTAGTCGTAGTAGTAGTAATAGTAGTAGTAGTCGTCGTAACCGTAGCAGTAGTCGTAGTTGTAGTGGTAGTAGTCGTAATAGTAGTAGTGGTAGTAGTAGTAGTAGTAGTAGTCGTAGCCGTAGTAGTAGCAGTAGTAGCAGTAGTAGCTGGTGTAGTAGTATAAATAAAAGGTCGTAGCAGTGAAGGTACCAGTAGTAGTAGTAGTAGCAGTAGCAGTAGTAGTAGTAGTAGTAGTAGTAGTCGCCGTCATAGTAGTAGTAGTAGTAGTAGTATTAGTAGTAGTAGTAGTAGTAGTAGTAGTAGCAGTAGTAGTAGTAGTAGTAGTAGTAGTAGTAGTAGTAGTAGTAGTAGTAGTAGTAGTAGTAGTAGTAGTAGTAGTAGTAGTAGTAGTAGTAGTAGTAGTAGAACGAGTACTAGTACTAGTAGTAGAAGTAGAAGTAGACGTTGAAATAGTGGTCGTAGTAGTCGTAGTAAGACGTAGGATGCATCATGATCACGGAGAAGACAGAAAAGGGCAGCGTGGTGACTGGCGTTGTGTTGACTGGATGGCGCGTCTGCGAGATCGTACGACATCGTGGAAATGCCGTCTACAAGAGCGCGCAAGCTGGTCAGCAATAAGCCGAGCAACTGGTGTGACGGAGAACGTTGGAACAACCAAAACCTAGTGACTGGCTTGTGCTGATTGGTCGGCGCATCGATGAGTACCACGCCGTCGCTCCCTCTCCATTCGCTGCCTCCCCTCCCAAGGCCTAAGCGAGCGGCGGAGCGGAAGGAAAACTTGCCTCGCAACGCCACGCGCGAGATCTAGAGCCTTCACGGCTCAAGCGCATGATCATCGCTGTCGTCGTCATCCCCACCATCGTCGCGACGTCATCCCATCCTCACATCTGCCGTGTGATGCCGCTCACAAGGGCAGAAAACGATTCGCATTGGTTGCACGTGCGCCGAGAAGTTCAGTCGAAGTTCAGTCGAAATATGGCCCCACAAGCGCGGATCAATAACATGAACCCGAAGGCCCAGAGCCTCATGGAAACAGCCACCAAAAGCCAGGGCATGTTCCAAGGTGAAATGCCGAAAGCACGAAGAGAACGGGGGCACCTCTCCGAAGCTAGGGTCGGAACGAGGAGGATGAGGATGAAGAGGAGTACGAGGAGAACCGATCCCCCCCTGAAGGCGCTGGAGACTCCTTGGGAGCCCCTCGCCCCTGTCCCTCCCGCACCGCCCCCATCTCCCAGTCCCCCATTGGACCAGGGCGCAGCCAAGGCTGGGACAGCAACGGCCCCAGACAACATTCCGGGATCGTCTGACCAGGGTCAATCCAGACCCGGGTCAGCCAGGACTTGCAGAATCCTGCAAGATCCTGCACCCAAACCCGGGCCACTGCGAAGGCTCCTGCAGGGCCCTGCAGGACCCTGCACCCAAGCCCGGGCCAATGCGACCCTGGCCCTGCAGGATCCTGCAAGATCTGGCGCTCTGGCTGACCCCCGTTTGCATTGACCCCCGTCTCAAGGCAAGGAGGAGGAGGAGGAGGAGGAGGAGGAGGAGGAGGAGGAGGAGGAGGGGGAGGGGGAGGGGGAGGAGGAGGAGGAGGATGGGGAGGGGGAGGAGGGGGAGGGGGAGGGGGAGCGCCAGGTGCTGAGGTACCCCGGCGGCCCCTCCAACGAGCTCGGCGTCGCCCTCGCGGGGGCCTCGGACGCCCGCGCAGGCTCCCGAAGCGTCGCTGCTCTCCGGGATCCGGCGGCGCGGGGGGACACAGATCGGGCACCGCGGCCGCCCCCGAGGGCTCCAGGCCCGCCCCTCCGCCCCCGAGGCCGCGAGGCGACGCGCGGGGCCCGAGAGCGGGGAGGCTCGAGTCGGGCATGTCCGAACATAGCTCAAAAACATAGTCAGACATGGTCAAACATGGTCAAACATAGTCAGGACAACACAATCAACAGTAGTAAAAAAGCATAATCAAACATTGACACAAAAAAACATAGTCTACAGGAGGCACCTTCAAGCATAGTTAAAAACATCGTCTGGGGACGATCTTTCGAGGATTGGTGGACTACGCCTGGAGGGGTTCTGGCTACATGTCTGATAAACGCCCGTAGGGGGGCATGCCCGACCTGAGACGGGGGAGGCCAAAAGATACCGATACAGCCATGCCCCGAACCTCTCCTTGGGCGCCCGAGTTATCCGGGATAACTCGGGTCCGGGGTAACTCGGGTTCGGATTCCCGAAAAAGGAACCCGAGTTATCCCTGACCCGAGTTACCCCTGATGGTTCGGGGCTCTGATCTCCTGGGACGCGTCCTGCCCAGAGCGCTCGTGGCGGATCCCGGCGCGGCGGCCGAGGGCACCCCCGCGCGAGTCCCCCCGAAGAGGTGCACACCACTAAGGGCCTGGCGGCATCGGCACCTCTGCTCCTCCTCGGAGAATCGGCCTCGGGCCCTGCTTCCCAGGACCTCGCCTGCTCCACTGAAGGGGCCCTCGGACACACACGCACACACATATATCTATATATATATATACACATATACATGCACACGCAACAAAACCCAGGATTCCACACATCTTGCCATACCTCTTGGACTCTCGTCTTCCCCCCACTTCCCATATGTTCCCATACGTTCGGGGGGCACTCGACGATCAATTGTGTCTGTGTTCTTTCCCTCCTGCTCCACGGCGACCTCCCCTCCCAGACCGCCGAGAGAGGAGCCACGCGCGCACCGCGCGCGCGCACGGCCGCGCGCGTCTCGCCGCAGGACGCCTGAACGCTATCAGGAGGTCCTCGAGCATGAAGAGCGCGAACAGGGCCGGCTCCTGCAGTGGAGGCCAGCCCACAAGAAGCCATCCATGAGAAACCCAACCCTGAGACCCAAGGACGTCCATCAGTATTCCAGGCATGGGGACGCCGCGCTCTCCACCGCGAAACCCTCGAAGCCCAAGAAACCCAGGGCACCCTCCTAGAGGCGAGCAAGGTGTTCCTTGGCATGGGCCTCCACTGCACCGCCGGCCAGCGGTTGGCCTCGACGAGGACTGGGGACACACTACAGTCGAGGCGTTGACTTAAGGAACCCTAAACAAGGAACGAGGCCCCTTTTTCCCATAGGTTCAACCTCGATTTCCCATGGAAAACCTCAGGAAAACCCGAGGCAAACTTTGGAACAATCCAGGAACACCGAGCCCCTCCCCAACAAAAATGGTTCCTTCTTCAGCGCCCCGACTGTATAGCCCGAGTCAGCACCAACCTGGGTTCGGCGAGGGCCCTGCCGCGAAGCCCCGCCGGCCGCTTATGGTGGCCCACGGACCCAGGTCAGCGGATGGCGGAGATCTGGACGACCGAACTGGGAACTGAAAGAAGGGGTACAGTCGGGGCGTTGACCTAAGAAACCCTAAATAAGGAACGGGGGCCCTTTTTTCCATAAGTTGAACTTCGATTTCCGATCGGAAACATAAGGAACACCTGAGGCAAGCTGTGAAAAACTTAAGGAACGCGGAGCCCCTCCCCAACCAAAAGGGTTCCTTCTTCGGGGCCCCGACTGCACAATACCCAGCAACAAGTGTGGTCCAAAACCGGCGCCGGCCGTTGCTGGGCAGGCGGCCTCTTGCATTCAGTGCACAGCGTCCGCGGCGGCGCGGACAGCGAGTCGTGCTCAAAAATGCATCTCAAGCTCAACTGCAAGCCAAGTCCGCACTTGCCATGCACCTCGCGGACGGGGGCACAGACAAGGCCAACCAGCAACTCTACGCAGACAGCACGCCAGGCCATCTACTGTTCCACCAAAGGCCAAGAGGCATTGCACTGGGAATGAGAAGCAAAAAAGGCATTGGGGTGGAAGATACGGCTGTCTATGCGGGCTGAAGCCGCTGCCAGAGCTGAAGCCGCTGCCAGAGCTCAAAAATGAAAAGGAACCGCTGTTGGGCAGTGAACCCGTTCTTTCCGTACCCATTTCGATCGCGCAGAGGAAACGGGGAATCGGCCCCACGTGGCTCCCAAGCCTGGGTCAGCCAGAGGCGATGGGCTACCCCCGCTGGCATTGACACACGTGTCGTGGTAGGTTTAGGTCGGGCATGTCCCCCTGCAGGCGGATGGTGGACGAAAAACTAAAAGCATTTCAAAAACACTGAGAAGTACTCAAACATTACAGGGAGGTTGAAAAAAACAAGAAATTCTAAAAACAAGGAATCTATAATTCTAGGTTGTCGCGTAGAGATCGTAGTCCCGAAGCCAGGCAGAGAACACAACTGGGAATAAATTAAACAAGCACCGGACCCGCGACGCGGCATGAAACAAAACAAGGGACGCCCTGGAACAGCAGGGGACAGATCTGGGGGAAGATCTGCCGGAAGATCTGGGGAGTGTTCAATGGAAGATTTGGCGCGGTTGCAAAGCGATAAATCTGGAGAAATATTTGGCGGAAGATCTGGGGGAGATCCGAATGAACATCTCGGATGAAATATTTGGCGGGAAGTCTGGAGGAAAATCTGGAAGGACATCTGAAAGAAGATCAGGTGGAAGATCTGGGCGAGAATCTGGGGAATGTGCTGATGGAGATTTGGCGGTGTAGTGCGTCATAAATATGCAGCAAGATTTGCGGGAAGATCTCGGGAAGATCTGGAGAAAGATTTGAGGGAGAAGATATGGGGAAACATTTGGGGGAAGATCTGGGTGGAGATCTGGAGAACGATCTGGGGTAAGATCTGGAGAAAGATCTGAACCAATATCTGGGTTGATTTTTAAGGAAACATAACAAGAAAATTGCGGGACAACATCGGGGAAAATCAGAGGAACGATCTGGGAGGCGATTTGGAGAAAGATCTGGCAAAAGATCTGGCGGAAGACCTTGGGAAACATCAGGGGAGAGATGTGGGGAAAGATCTGGGAGAAAATCCTGGGTCATATCTGGTGGAAGATCTGGGCGAAGACCTGGAGGAACATCTGGAGGAAGATCTGGGGGAAGATATGGGGGAAGATATGGGGGAAGAGCTGGAGGAAGATCTGAAGGGAGATCTGGGGGAAATCTGGGGGAAGATCTGGTGGGAGATCTGGGGGAACATCTGGGGGAAGATCTGTAGGAAGATCAGAGGAAGATCTGGTGGGGGATCGGGGGGAAGATATGGAGGCAGATCTGGGGTAAGATCTGGGGAAACATTTATGGAAAGATCTGGGGAAGATCTGGGAGGGGGATCTTCAGGAATGGGGGAAGATCTGAGGACAGATCTGGGAGAAAATTTGGGGAAAGATCTGGAGGAAGATCTGGCGGATGACCTTGGGAAACAGCAGGGGGAAGATTTGGCGAAAGATCTAGGGAGAACATCTGGGGTCATATCTGATGGAAGATCTGGGCGAAGATCTGGAGGAACATCTGGAGGAAGATCTGGGGGAAGATATGGGGTAAGATATGGGGGAAGAGCTGGAAGAAGATCTGAAGGAAGATCTGGGGGAAGATCTGGGGGAAGATTTCGGGAAAGATCTGGGGGAACATCTGGGGGAAGATCTGGAGGAAGATCTGGGGGAAGATCTGGGGGGAGATCAGGGAGAAGATCTGGAGGAAGATCTGGGGTAAGATCTGGGGAAAGATTTAAGGACAGATCTGGGGGAATATCTGGGGGGAGATCTGGGGAAAGATATAGGAGAAGATGTGGGGAAAGATCTGGGGGAAGATTTGGGGAAAGATCTTGAGGAAAATGTGGGGGAAGATCTGGGGGAAGATCTGAGGAAAGATCTGGGGGGAAATGCAGGGGATGAATCCGGGGGAAGATCTGGAAGATCTGCCGGAAGATTTGGGAAGATCTGGGGGAACTCTGGAGAAGGACGCGGGGGGAATCTCTGGAACAAGATCCGAAGGCCAGAAGGCCTCGAACCTCGATCCCCCAGATCTTCCCCCCAGATCTGGGGGGAAGATCTGGAAGATCTAGGGGAAGATCTGGAGGAAGATCTGGGGAAAGATCCGGGGGGAGATCTGGGGGAAGATCTGCGGGAAGATCTGGTGGGAGATCTGCGCGGCGATCTGGAAGAAGATCTGGGGGAAGATCTGGGGGGAAGATCTGGGGGAAGCTCTGGGGGAAAATCTGGGCGAAGACATCTAAGCGAAGATCTGTGGGAAGATCTGGGAGAAGATCTGGAGGAAGATCTGGGGAAAGATCTAGGAGGAGATCTGGGGGAAGATCTGGGGGGAGATCTGGAGGGAGATCTGGGCGAGGATCTGAGGGAAGATCTGGGTGAAGCTCTAGGAGGGGATTTGGGCGAAGATCTGGGTGAAGATCCGGGGGGGGATTTGGAGGGGCAAAGGATGAGAAGATCTGAATAACGATCTGGAGGAAGACCTCAAGATCTGCGTGACGATCTGGGAGGAGATCTGGGTGAATATCTGCAGGGAGATCAAGGGAAACGTCTGGAGGAAGATCTGGACGAAGATCTGGAGGACAGTCCGGAGGAAAATATGGGGGAAGATCACCGTGACCATTTTTTAAGCAAGGTTTTCGAGCATCCCTCGCGCGATGACGGCAGAGCATGAAACAAAACAAGGAACTTCAACACATGATTTTAGAGTAGGTCCGCGAGACTGAGCCCGGGAATGCCGTCCTAGTTTTTTGACTATGTTTGAAATCTGCTCCTGTAAAGGGACATGCCCGACTGAATGTCAGGTCGGGCACGTCTTCCTGCACGCACAGTTTGGAAGGAAACAAAAATTCAGCCAAGGCACATTCGAACGTGGCCATCAATGAATCGAAAAGTCCTCCCCCGACTACATTCTACTACTTTCACATGTCCCTCCTGTACAGGGACGCGCCCGACGTAAGCTCTGTGAGCCCAGACTTAGTGGGCCCCAGAAAAGGCAGGGCCGTTTTTTCACCGTTTCCGAGAAAATGTCCCTTAAAAAAGGAAACAGCAAAAAAAAGGCGACCGGAAACGGCAACAGAAACGGCTCCAGGATCGGAACTGGAGGGGGAACCCGTAAAAGCACGGCGACGGAACCGGTAAAAAAACGGCGTCGGAACCGGCAACAAAAACAGCAAAACGGAACCGGAAAAAAAAAACGGCCCTGTCGTTACCAGGGCCCACTGAGGACGTGCCCGACGCAAGCTCAGTGAGCCCAGAGAGGAGGAAGGCACGCCGAGCTTCGTCGGTTGCCTTCGGCGTCGGAGCGGGTTCGGGCAGGAGCGGCGTGCGCCGGGGGCGCACCCCGTGCGAGCTGCTGCCGCGCGGGCTCTCCGCTCGGCCACCGCCCGCCCTCTCCATGGCGCCCTCTCGCATTCTCGCACGTCGTTTCGAGTACACGTCGGTCGGCTTTGCGCGGCCCGCTCTGACTGGACTCGCCGCTGGCGCTCTCGCCTGCGGCAGCTGACTAAAAAGTACACGTCGGTCGGAAGAAGTAGGTAGGAACATGAAGTAGGAAGGCGGATTGAGTTGGTTGGGTCCAGGCCCCCCCAGGGAATTACAAAACACAGCAAAAGCGCGTCGATTCTTGAGGTAGGAAGGCGCTTGAAATGGATTGGGATCTGGGAATCCAAAAATCCCTACTTTCAACCACCGGCGTGCACAGTCAACCCGTGTCGCAAGGACGCACGATGAGGATGCAAGGGCCTTGGAGGGCCATGTCGACACTCTGCGAGCGGGGGCGCGCCCTGCGAGAGCGGCCAAGCATGGGCCAAAGGGGAAGGATGCGAGGGTAGCCTTGGAAAGGGCCGCCCATCCTTGCTGTGCGCACGCACGCACGCACAAGCCATACGCCGTCTGGCGCGTGGGCGGGAAAACAAGCTCAGCACAGCCTGTCATGTAAGGGAGAGGAGGAGGAAGAGGAGGAAGAGGAGGAGACAGAGAATAAACATGCATGCAAAGAGCGCAAAAAAGCGGCGGGTTGGTTGCCACAAACAGTGACAATCACAGAAACTGTCGGAGGTCCGCGTGGACTTCAGCGCCAGAGGCACCGCCAATGGCTCCGGCACCGATCCGAGGAATGCGCGCGGAGATCAGAAAAACGTGATTGTTGAATTTCTGGTTCCGGCGGCGAGCGAGCGGGGAAGTGAGAAGGAGAAGGCCTTCTCAGAAGGCTTGGAAGTTCCCCCCAGCCTGCTGAGAAGTGTTCTAAGCCTACCCCGAAGACAAACCAAACAAACTTCTCAGAAGGCGCGGGGGCTTCTGAGAAGTCCCGCCGCCTTCTGAGAGGGCCTTCTCCTTCTCGATTCCCCCCCTCGCTCGCCGCCGATGGTTCCTCGAACGTTACCACATCTCAGTCTTCAGCGTCGCCGGTTGGTAACGCTTCGGCTCCTCGCCTCCCGTATCTGAAAGGAGTGACGGCGCGAAGGCTTGAGGACATGGACCTTCGTCGACGATTGTCGGCGACCCCAACAACGACGACGACGAGCGACGAACGGCGACAAGGCGACGAGGTCGAACGACGAGTGGCGACGACGTCGATGCCGACAAGCGCCGACGGCGACGGCGATGTTGACGATGACGATGGACGGCGACGGCGATGTTGACGATGACGATGACGAGGGATGAGCGAGCGGAGGAATTTGCCAAATACCAAGCGCACGCAGCCCACCCTTCCCCTCCGCCATCTCCTCCCTGCTCCCTCGCCCTCCTGCTCTACCCACCTCCCTGCTCCTCCCTACTCTGATTCTTCCCCCTGTTTCTTCCCCTTTCCTCCCCCGTCGTCGCCGTCCTCCTCCCACGACGACAACGACGAGGGCGAATACGCAGCCGACGACACGGACGACGACGGCGACGACGACGACGAAGACGCGGAGAGAGGCGACAACAACGACGACGACGACGACGACAGCGACGACGACGACGACGGCGGTTTCGGTGGTGGCGATAGCGGCGACGACAGCGACGACGACGACGACGAATACGACGACGGCGAATACGACGGCGACGACAACGACGACGACGACGACGACGACGACGACGACGACGACGACGACGACGACGACGACTGCAGCGGCGGCGGCGGCGGCGACGCGGACGGCGACGACGTCGCGGCCGCCGAGGGGCCGCCCTCCGCCGAGGGCCTCCGCGGGCCCGCCGAGGGCTTCCGCAGAGGAGGGGCCGGCGGGGGCCGGCGAGGGGCGGCGGCGGTCCACGGCCGCGTCGGCACTAACAAAATGGCACCACGACCTACCCGTGACAGTGATTACTCGATCGCTTCCAGTCCAGGGGAACCGGGGGAGGAGGAGGACGAAGAGGAGGACGAGGAAGAGGAGAGGGAGAAGATGAGAGGAAGGACAAACGCACTGTGTTGGCATCCCAGATGTCCGGCGAGGGCCGGCGAGGGCCGGCGGCGGTCCACGGCCGCGTCGGCCAGGAGGCTCAGGTGGCGCCTGCCCGAGGACCACTCCTGGGGCGTCGAGGGCGCGCGCGCGGCGCGGCGCAACGCACCCCGCTCAGCGGTGCGCGCGCAGGAAGCGGCCCACGAGAAGCCCAAGAGGCGGGCGCGGCTGCGGGGGCAACACTGGTGTCCACGTCCACTGCAGCTTGGGGTTCCGGGCTCCCTTCCCCAGAAGGCCGAGGAGCACTGGATGTGGATAAAAATCGGGCCCCTACTAGAGGCTCGAATTTTATCCATATCCAGTGCGCCTCGGCCTTGCGGCGCCCCTTCCACGAAAGTCCAAGACGCCCTGCATATGGATATAAATATTGCCCGCAGCAGCGGCGGCGGCGCCGATCGCGGGCGTTGCAGCGTTTGTCTTACAGCGGGGGCCAATCCACAAGAAGCCTTCCACGAGAAACCCAGCCCTGAGACCCCAGGGTGTCGCTTGATGTTTGGTGGGGGGCGTCACGTTTTCCATCGCAAGACCATCGAAACCCAAGAAACCCAGGGCACCGTGGAGACAGTCAGGGTGCATCCCAGCATGGGCCTCCACTGCAGCAGGCGAGTCCGCCTGGCTCCTGGCCCCGGGATCCTCACAGGTCGCTCTGGCTCGAAACATGGGGCACCGAATTGCGGGGGGTCTGGCTGTTCGCGATCTGTTTTGCCACGCTGCCCTCTTTGGGCACCTTCCGATCCGATGGGGGCGTGAGGCCCACTCGGCACCGAGGGCGTTGATCGATCCGCCAGTGAGGGCGAGCGGGCCGGCGGAGCCACGAAGGGGGGAGGCGCGAGGGCCGGAGGGCTCGAGGGCTCGCGGGGGGGGGGATCTGGGGGGCTCCAGGGGGGGGGGGGGCTCGAGGGCTCGAGGGCTCGAGAGGGGGGGGAAGGGCTGAGGGGCTCGAGGACTCGACGGGGAGGGGGGGGGGGGCGGGGGGGGCAAATCTGGGCGCGGAGGCCAGTGCTGAACACAAGCTCTGTGGGCCCCCCTCGGAAAGCGCGGGCGTTGTCGGGGAGGTGCCCGTGGCCCGCGCCGCGCCCTCCGTCGGCCTCGGCCCCCGCCAGCGCGCGGAGAACCGGGGAGGGGGGGGGGCACCCCTCCCCTCGCGGCCGGAGCTAGGGTTAAGTCAGGCGTGTCATTCTGCAGGACGAATATGCAAAAATAGTTAAAACAATTACTCTGGGGACGACGTTTGTGCTACGTTTTGAATATATGTTCTCCAAGATCCGCTTGTAGGGGGACATGCCCGACTTAAAGCTAAGACACAAGAGCATCCCCGAAAAACATGAGGTCCTCCACTGGCCAAAACAAAGAAGATACGAGGGTACACTGCCCCAAGATGCGCAAGAACATCCAGCAAACACGATGGACATGAGGGCCCTCCCTGAACCGACCTCGATCTCATACGTCGGTCCCGTCGTACTCCCAACCCCTGGCTCTGGACGGGGCGCCCCGCGACGCCTGGAGCGCCCAAGACAGGTGGGCACGGCGAAGATTGCGAAGGATCGTTTTGGCCCTGGAAGCGCGGATGCGTCGTGATTTACGGGGGATCGTGGCCCGGCAGGGGGGAGGAACAAGGAAAGGCGACGCCAACGCCACCAGGGCGACGATATGCGATGAGGCGAACGGGGTATCCCTGGTAGTTTGCCGCCCCCCCCCCCCGCATCGTGGACTTCCTCGCTGGAAGTGGGGCCCCCGGTGGCGTTGGCATCGTTTCTCCCAACTCCGGGGGAGAGGGGACGCCGCCATCTCGAGGCCTGGCACGCGGCGTGCCGATTGTTCGCCCCTCCGCGACAAAAAAAAATCGGCCGCGGCTGCGGCCCACTCGAAGGCAGGGCATTCGCGGCGCCTTGCCTCGCTTCACGGCCTTTCCACTGGCGCGCCACGAGGAGGGCAGAGGAGGGGGTGGGCGCCATAGTCTCGCAGTATAAGAACGACGAACATAACTGCAGAAACAGATGGCCTTCATCTCGGCGGCGAACGAGGGGAGGGAAATGAAAAGGAGAAGGCTTTCTCAGAAGGCAGCGGGACTAATCAGAAGCCCGCGCGCCTTCATGGAAATTGTCGTTTGTCTTCGGGGAAGGCTTCGGCAACGTATCAGAAGGCCGGAGAACTTCCGAACCTTCTGCGACGGCCGTCCCCTTCCTACTTCACCCCCACTGCTCGCCGCCAAGACACGCGCCCGCGACGAGGCAACCGATTTCTGAATCCTTGGCCCGTCGGCTACACAGGCACACGCCACCCCCAAATGGCCCGCCCTGACCCGACAACTGGCGTTCACTAAACGGCCCTGGGCGTTTACTACACAGCCCTGCCCTGCTCGAGCTCCTTCGGGTGCGTTTACGGAACGGCTTCTCGAATCGAGGCGGTTACTACGGGTGTGGATGTCTGGCCCTCTCGCGTGAACAGAAACTTTCGAAACTCCGTGCGGGCGCGTTGGATTGGCACTGGGTCCCCCTGGCGGCGCCTCTGGCGCCGCCCTCGGCACCTCCCCAGCGGAAGTCTTCATTGCCTCGGCGTCTTCGGCCTTCGAAGAAGTTGTCTACGTCCTCCCACGCCCAGACGTCATCGTTTTTTTTTTCCAGGTGACGTGTTCGTTTTGGCGTGAACCATCACTTTGCGCTCTGCGGGGGGACGTTTGCCCACGAGCCAGCCTGCGCCGTCAACTTGCGCACTGCGTTGGGGGCTACCCACAAGCCAACCTGAACCCGCCGACGAACGCGCCGCACCGACCTCCTCAAGGGCAACCACTTCGAGCCAGCGGGGGCTTGGCAGTGTGAGCAGACTGCCAGACAAACCATGCACGCGAGGGCGAGGCGAGGACGAGGAGGACGGCGACGACGAAGGAGGCGAAAGCGACAACCACGGCGACTCACGACCACACCCTGCCTTCCCCTCGAGTCGACTCACAGACCTGTCGTGGATCGCAGTCTGATCAGAACTCGGAGGCAAACCTGGCCTTGCAAGCGTATCTAGCCGTGCTCCTCTTCTTCTTCCTACTCTCCCCACCAAGCGATCCTCTTCGCCACTGCGATATCCTGGAACTACCTCCTCCTCTTCCTCCCTACTTTTCCCTCCGCCCCCTCCTCCCCCTCTCCCTCTCATCACGGGGCTGGAAGACAAGAGAACTGCATGAATAAAAAATGTCCGAGGCCCGCGCGGATGTTCTGGGTCTTTGGCGCGCGCAGCGCGCCAAGGGGAAGCGCCAAGGGCTGCGCCAAGGGCCGCGCTAAAAGCGTCTCCAGGGGTGGCAGCGCCTATCCAAAAACTTCGTGCGCAGCTTCGAAAGCGCACGTTGACGCAGCGCTTTCCCCGTCGAATGGCGAAGAAGAGGTGCGCTGCAGGATCTACTCCGCAACCTCCTCCTTCCATCCATGATATTCCTCCTCGCCCCCATTACCTCCTGGATCTTCCTGCACCTCCCTCCCCCCCTCCCTCTCATCACGGGGCTGGAAGACAAGAGAACAGCATGAATAAAAAATGTCCGAGGCCCGCGCGGATGTTCTGCATCTTTGGCGCGCGCAGCGCGCCAAGGGGAAGCGCCAAGGGCTGCGCCAGGGGCCGCGCTAAAAGCGTCTCCAGGGGGGGCAGCGCCTATCCAATGTTCGCGCGCAGCTTCGAAAGCGCACGTTGACGCAGCGTTTTCTCCCTTGAAGGGCTAAGAAAAAGTGCGCCCCGGGATCTCCTCCGCAGCCTCCTCCTCCTTCCATCCATCCTCTTCCTCCTCGCCCCCACTACCTCCTGGATCTTCCTGCACCTCCCTCCCCCCCCTCCCTGGGAGAACCAACATGCACCGATACCGCTGCATCCTGGACCTCTCCCGGTGCGCGTTCTGGCCAAAATGCCGGGGCGAATCCAGCGGCGTCGACGAGGCCGCGCCAGGAGGCCCAGAGGGCGAAACGACGCAAGGGTAGCGATGTAAGAAGCAGGTCGCTGGGGGGTGGCAGTCGCACTAGGCGTTTTTCGATGTCAGGAATCAGCGATGTTCGGTTTTGCCGCCACGGAAAACAGCGCGCTCGTTTGTGTTTTGCTTGCGGACGCCCACAAAAACGATCGACCACGACGTAGCAATCATGAAATTCCACGCCTGAAATCTAGCAGAACGACCGCACATGTCGAAAACGGCGAGACAATCTAATCTCGCCCGCGAGCGACACGCGAACGACAGACCGCAGCTGGCGAACCAAATTATAAGCGAAAACAGCCGCGGACGGCGATCCCTTAGGAAGTCCTTCATGCGGTCGTACCACGCAAAAAAAAAAAAAAAAAAAAAAAAAAAAAACTGCACCCGAACAACACCTGAGACACTACACTGAGAAACTCGATGTCCCGATATCCAGGTGCCAAGAAAATATGAGCGAGAAGGCACCGCGATGCTATCGACCGAAATTGAGGCCAACTCAAAACGACACCACTTTCCGCAATTGGGGCCGCAACTTGGGCCCGGGGGCCAAAGTTGTGGGCGGGCCGCAGCTTGTACCTGGTCATTGACACAAGGAGGAGGAGGAGGAGGAGGAGGAGGAGGAGGAGGAGGAGGAGAGCTTGTACCTGGTCATTGACACAAGGAGGAGGAGGAGGAGGAGGAGGAGGAGGAGGAGGAGGAGGAGAGGAGAGGAGAGGGTGTGAGGACAGAGGAAGGGAGAGTGAAGAGGAAGGAGGAGGAGGAGGAGGAGGAGGAGAGGAGTAGGAGGAGGAGGAGGAGGAGGAGGAGAGAGAAGGAGGCAGGAGAGAGGAGGAGGAACAAAAAGGAGGAGGAAAGGTGGGAGGAAGAGGAGGAGAAGGCGGGAGGAAAAGGAGGAGGAAGAGGAGGAGGAGGAGCCCCCGGACCCTCGCGAGTCGCCCCAAGCACGAGCAGCGAGGCGGGAAACGCGGGCGAGGCGCGGTCGCGCGTTTGCGCGCCGTCTGGGGCCCACGGGGCCCCGAACGGCGCGAGCGCGCGCTCGGCGCCTGTCGGCGCACGAACGCGCGATCGCGGCTCTCCGCGGCGCCCCTCCCCTCGCCGCACCGCCCTCCCTACCCCCGTCCACACCATCGCCCTGCTCCAGCATTCCGCCCCCCGCCACCCGCGACACCCCCATCGCCGCCCCCCACACACCCGGCCCCTCGACCTCCCCGCTCGCCCACCCGCCGCATCCCCCCGGCTACCCTGGGGTCTACCCCTTGGCCTGCCCTGGCCGCCCCTCAGGGCCCCCGGCTACCCCCGGCCACCCTCCTCCCGCCCCCCCCCCTTTCAGCGCTCGCCGCCGCGCCGCACGCCGAGAGAGCGCGCGGTCGCGTCGGCAGTCGCGCGCGGCCTTCCGAGCTCGTTCTGAAGATTCCCGAAGCCATTCCGAAAGTGTCCGAGGCCCCCCAACTCCTCCCGAAGGATTGCCGATGCCTTTCGAAGGTTCCCGAAGCCCCCCGAGGCCTTCCGAAAGCTTGTCGATGCCCCCCGAAGATTGCCGAGGCCTTCCGAAAGTTCCCGAAGCACCCCGAGGCATTGCGAAAGTTTCCGAAACCCTCCGAGCCCTCCAGAGAGCCCGGCGGCGGCCGCGGCGGCCGCGGCGGCCCTCCTAGGCCGCCCTCTACGTCCCCTCCGCCGCGACCACCGCCGCAACGTAGGCCCCTTCCGCCGAAACCGCACTCCCCACCAAAAAGCGGGGAAGGGCTGTAAAATGTTGCATTTAATGCAAAATAATGTTAACAATGAGGTGCTTTTCCTGAAGTATGCAATTTACTGACGTATACGGAAAAGATTTAAGAACGTCGCTAACATACAAGCGGCTGACGAAAGTGCGGCGCGAACCTAAAGCCCCAAAGGGATTTGGCGCTAACCTAACCGAAAGTGCGGCGCTAACCTAACCGAAACTGCGGCGCTAACCTAACGATGGTATCTGACAATTGGCGCGACTCGCTACTTACTAGCATAAGTAGAACGATAGCATACGGAAACGATACCATATGAAACAAAAAAAAAAATAAAGTCACAAACGATAGCATACGGAAACGATACCATATGAAAAATGGTGCGAACTATTGTACTACCCCCACTTTCCCCATACCCCCCTCCCCGCCGTTGCTTCCCAATCACATTTGTCGCCTACCACCCCCCAGCGACCTGCTTCTTACAGGTAGCGGTAGCAACATCTGTTCCTCCTCCCTCCTCCACCTCAGCCGAGCCGCACGCGACCCGTGACGAGAAGGCCAGGCAGCGCGCCCCATGGCGGGACACGCTCCCTTTCGCTCATGCGTTTCGGCCAGCCGATGCTTCTCGTCGTCTCTACCCCCTCAGCCTTTCAAGGGCTCGGAGCTTGCAGCCACATCGAACACGGCACCAATCGCCGGTGTCAGCGCCACACCTTCTCTTGGCGGCGCTCAACGGGAGATAGTGGGCGGGGGGGAAGGCTGCTTATAAAAATGAGGCCCGCGCCCTCTAGGAAGCAGGGGTGCTTCTAAGAAGCCTTCCCCCCTCCCCCCGCCCCCCCTCTTGCGCGTGGCCGATTTCACCCTCGGCGAGCAGGAGGAGAGGTGCGCTCCAGGATCTCCGCGACCGCGTCGTCCAGCTCCTGCGCGATGCGCTCGGCCCTCTTCGGGGGGGGCCTCGCGGATCCCACGGAGGGGGGGGGCGAACGCGCGCGCGCGGCCGGCCACAGCAGACGTCTGGCCATGCTAGCCGTCGCACGGTGCGGCCACGAGGCCGCGGGCGAGACGACCGGGCGAACGCCCTCACCACTCGTTTGCAGCGTTCGCCTTCCCGTCAAATCTCCGTTCGCCGTCGTCCTCCCAGCATCCGACCACATGGTCTTCCCATGGCCCGTCCACGCATCGTCATCATCGTCCTCGTCCTCATCCGCCGCCTCCTAAGCCTCGTCGCCCGCCTCTTCCTCGCCCTCCTGCTTCGTTTCCCCCATTGGTGGCTCCTCCCCCTCCTCGTCCCCTCCTCCTTCTCTAAAAGGGCCCACAAAGGACGTACGCGCCCAATCATGTACATGAACACGGCCACGCAATCCGGGAGACCCGCCGCGTGATACCAACGATCGCGCAAAGCATACTCTCGAAACCAACGTGGACCCGTGTACGTGTACCACCTTTTTTCGCTCTTGAGTCTCGCGCCACCCGCCCCTTCCGCTGTTAGACGTGGGGGAGCAAGAAACGAAGCTGGCGAGGCACGGGGCGTGCGAGGTCCGACCCCCGCGGGGCCTGCTCCAGTCCTGCCAGTCCTCGCGCGCCGAAGGCCCCTGCGCCCAACGAGGGCGGGGGAGACGGGGGCCGACGACGACGACGACGACGACGACGACGACGACGACGACGACGACGACGACGACGACGACGACGACTCGGCAGCCGTGCCAGGGGCAACGGCGGAGGCGGCAACAAAAGGGGCGACCGGGAGGAGCACGGTTGGGCGTTGCTGACTGGGGGCGCTGCAGATTGGGGGGGGGAGCAACGTGCAATGTTCGGGCCCCAGGGGCCCCGCTAAGGTGCTCGAGAGGTGGACGTTTCCTCGCCTCCCGGATCATCGCCCTCCAATCCCCCCCGCACGCAACGCCCGAGGACGGGGAAATAGATGCGAGCCCAAGCGACAAAGCACGCGGGCAGTCGTGAAGCACTATGGTACAAGGGCAGCAGCGCGCTGCACCTCCTCTTCCAGGCTTCGACCTGGAATTGCCGCCAGGGGTAGAGGCGTAAGAACGCGGTGATAATGTGTTGTTGTTTACGCGGCAGCTCATAGGAGCCTCCCGTGCCATCCTGCTGGCCCGTGCGAATCGACGCGAATCTAAAACACCAGTCGCTAAATCGACGCTAAATGGATCAACGCTAGTCGATGCCAAATCTGCGATATCACCTCGATTGCCAGACGCTGAAGACAGAGCGACGAGGGTATACAAAGCTCCCACGACTTGCTACCGAACTCTTCCGAAGCCAGGGACGGGCACACACAACAAAACCTGATCCTGAGAGAGGAGTCAGCAGATCGGCTCGGACGGAAAAGAGGGGATTGATGGGCCAAATTTCCACCACCGCTGCCATACGTAGGACGGGTGAGAAGGGAGGATGGGGGGTCCTTCTCCTCCTCCTCCTCCTCCTCGTCCTCCTCCTCTTTATCCTCCCTCTCCTACCTATGGCAGTGGTGGTGGAACATCGGCCCATCAGGGATGGCAGACAGGGGGGGCATGGCGAGTTGGCAGCATGCAAATGGCGTTCCCGGCGCCTCCCCGCGCTGGGCTTAGGATGTCCCCCGACAGGCAGACGTTGGAAGAAAAACGAACACTTGCACAAAAAGATTCGAAGGTAGCCGAACGATGTCAAACGTGGTAAACAAAAAAAAACGCCCGCTGGCTATTTTTCTACTTTCTAACGTTCCCCCCGTAGAGGGGCATGCCCGACTTAACGTCGGGTCGGATGTTGGGCGGTACTTTTGAAAGACAAAACAAATACTCAACAACCATTCCTATGGACAGAGAATGCCAAAAAAGCCCAGGGGCGCGTTTGGCCCCCAGCCCCATGCATTCATTTGCAGGAGGAGGAACAAAAAAAAGGAGGAGGGACGGGGAGGAGGGAGAGAAGAGGGGGCGCCAGGAGAAGAGGGAGGAGGGGGAGGAGGAGGACAGCAACCAGGGGGCTCAGCAGCAGGCCGCGCGGGACTCCTCCCTGGTGGCGAAAGCGGTAGCCGCGGCGCCCAGGGTCGAGGTGCCCCCAAGGGAGGCGACTGCGAGAGCTGGATGCGCATGTGGCCGCGTGTCTGTCCAGCGCTCGGCTTTGCTTCGGGTTCCGCGCCGAGCCTCCGCATGTGTATTCAGCGACGGCGACGACGGCGGCGGCGACGGCGACGACGGCGGCGACGAGCGGCGGCGGCGGCGGCGACGACGACGACGGCGATGGCCCAAGCTGGCTGCTCGCTAGCATTCCCACTGTAGCTGCTAGCTACACCCAAAGTAGCTGCTAGCTACCGCGCGCTTGGATAGCCCGCAGAGGAGACACGCGAGGAAAAATACACACCTGCGCTTCGCGCTCCATTCCGCCGTCTCCGTGGTGTTCATAGGATTTGCGGTGCTCTTAGTAGTAGCAGTGGTAGTAGTAGTAGTTGTAGTAGTAGTAGTAGTAGTAGTAGTAGTAGTAGTAGTAGTAGTAGTAGTAGTAGTAGTAGTAGTAGTAGTAGTAGTAGTAGTAGTAGTAGTAGTAGTAGTAGTAGTAGTAGTAGTAGTAGTAGTAGTAGTAGTAGTAGTAGTAGTAGTAGTAGTAGTAGTAGTAGTAGTAGTAGTAGTAGTAGTAGTAGTAGTAGTAGTAGTAGTAGTAGTAGTAGTAGTAGTAGTAGTAGTAGTAGTAGTAGTAGTAGTAGTAGTAGTAGTAGTAGTAGTAGTAGTAGTAGTAGTAGTAGTAGTAGTAGTAGTAGTAGTAGTAGTAGTCGTAGTAGTAGTAGTAGTAGTAGTAGTAGTAGTAGTAGTAGTAGTAGTAGTAGTAGTAGTAGTAGTAGTAGTAGTAGTAGTAGTAGTAGTAGTAGTAGTTAGTAGTAGTAGTAGTAGTAGTAGTAGTAGTAGTAGTAGTAGTAGTAGTAGTAGTAGTAGTAGTAGTAGTAATCGTCGTCGTCGTCGTCGTCGTCGTCGTCGTCGTCGTCGTCGTCGTCGTCGTCGTCGTAGTAGTGGTGGTAGTAGTGAAAGTAGCAGTAGAGAGACACGAGGGGTAGACAGAGATGGAGAGAAAGAGAAAGAGAGAGAGAGAGAGAAAGGGAAAACGAGAGAGAGAGAGAGGGAGAGAGAGAAAGAGAGGGGAGAGAGAAAAACGGCGAGGGAAGGGGGAGAGAGGAGGCAGGAAGTAGGAGAGAGAGAGAGAGAGGGAGAGAGAAATAAAGAGAGAAAAGGGCCGCAGCCACCGGGCTCAAACCTACAAGCCGAGAAGACTCACCAACTGCTGGTTGATTACGTATGAAAACATTAGGCGCAACCTCTTCAATGGATTCAATAGATGGCAACAAGAAGGACTGTGGAACGCAAGCCAGAGATTTCACAGAGTTCACTGAGCAACAGCCTTTTTTCGGAATTACGTTTCCATATGAGAAACGCATATTGGCAGATTTGGAACAGCAGCCAAAACCAACCAGCAGATTTGGACCAATAGCAGTGAACGCAGCAGGAGAATTGGACCCAACGGTACCATGGTTGGAACAAGCACAGAAGTTGTATGATGTCACTAATCAGAATTTGAAAATGTTGTTCGACGCAGGCGCGGCAGGGCCTTTCTATAATGTGTTTGGGTTCAGCGGCAAGAAGTTTTTACCTTTTGACGAATTCGCAAAAGGTGTGGAATTACAGCTACGGTCTAGTATGTTGGGGGAGCCCCCATTGTGGAAGCGCGAATGATGAGACGACACAGGGGTGGAAGGACTCGGCACACTTCAAAACAAACGCATGGGAAAGTATGGCATGGCTAGCGGAGTCAGCGTGCATAATAATGACGTTTCATGCATGCTACAAAGTGGAACTCTGGAGTCCAAGCTATTCAAAAGCAGGCTCGGGCGCAGACGCGCGCGCAAAGCGACAGTCGGTGGTGGCGCCAGCGTACTTTAGAAGCTACGCGCCCATAGGATCTGGCAACATGTACCGTGAGATTAACTCGCACAGGAACATACCGGTGATGATCGCATTACTGGTGCCGGCTCGTTCCAAAGATCTGACTACCTACCACGACGGCATACAAATTGACGTGGGAATGACGATGCTCAAAATATCATCACTTGCACTTGCAAGATGAATATGCAATAGAGCTTGGAGGTCAAAAACTCGCATTATCAGTGGAATTGCATTTGGCAAAAGACGAACTGCTTGAAACGAAAAAAAGCACAGCTGCGCATGGAAACGAATGGTCAAATTGCAATGAGGATGGACAGCTCGTAATCGTTTGCGCTTGATCTGCGCGTAGAATAACACTCGCAGTCTCTCCTTCATCTCCTCTCCGATCTCATCCTAAGCTGGCTGCTCGCTAGCATCCCCAAGGTAGCTGCTAGCTACCACGTGCTTAGATTCCCTGCAGAGAAAACGCGTGTTCGCAGAAGCAAAACAATGAACATAACATAAAAACACCACAGTTTCATTTTCAGCATGAAGGTTCCTGCGCTTCGCGCTCCATTCCGCCGTCTCCGCGGTGCTCACAGGATCTGCGGTGGTCTTAGTAGTAGTAATGGTAGTAGTAGTAGTAGTAGTAGTAGTAGTAGTAGTAGTAGTAGTAGCAGTAGTAGTAGTAGTAGTAGCAGTAGTAGTAGTAATAGTAGTAGTAGTAGTAGTCGTAGTAGTAGTAGTCGTAGTAGTAGTAGTAGTAGTAGTAGTAGTAGTAGTCGTAGTAGTAGTAGTAGTAGCAGTAGTAGTAGTAGTAGTAGCAGTAGTAGTAGTAGTAGTAGTAGTAGTAGTAGTAGTAGTAGTAGTAGTAGTAGTGGTGGTGGTAGTAGTAGTAGTAAAAGTAATCGTAGTAAGAGAGAGCGACAGGGGAGGTAAACAGAGAGATAATGAGAGCGATTGAGAGACAGAGAGAGAGAGAGAGAAAAAAAAAAGAGAGAGAGAGAGAGAGAGAAGAGGAGAGAGAAAAGCGGCGGGAGACAAAGGGAGTCCTTGTGTATTCCGCCGCGAAAGAAATCTCTTCGTATTCCGCCACAAAGGGAATTCTTTCGTATTCCACCACACAATGAATTCTTTTGTATTTCGCCACAAAAAGGAAATCCGGTTGTACTCCGCCACAAAAGGGGTTCCTTGGTATTCCGCTACAAGATGGACTCCCTTGGTACTCGGCCACAACAAGAATCCTTCTGTATTCCGCCGGACAAGAAATCCTTTTGTATTCCGCCGCAAAAAAAGAAGCAATTTTTTGTATTCCGCTACAAAAAGAATCCCTTTGTTTTCGGCCACAAGAAGAAATCTTTTGTATTCCCCCAAAAAAATCCTCTGAATTCCGCTAAGAATAGAATCCTTTTGTACTCGGCCACAAAAGGGAATCTGTTGTATTCCGCCACAAAGGAAATTCTGTCGTATACCGCCACAAAAGGAATTCCTTTGTATTCCGCTACAAAAGGAATTCACTTGTATTCGGCCACACAGGGAATCCCATTGAAATTAATGTAATAGTTGTAAATCATGGCCAGGCACAGCACAGCTTTTCTTTAGACAAGTATTGCTTTTTCATGGCCAAGCACGGCTACCACAGCATTTTTAATTCAAAATAATAAGAAAAATCATGGCCAGGCACAGCTATCACAGCTTTTTAAATGATTTTCCAGCTATGGAGGTTAATTTCAATAGAAAGCTGCGAGAACACACGGTTCCCTTAAATGTTTCATTCGATAACCAAAGAAAACCGTCTGTTTTCACAGCGTTTCATTGAAATTAACTTTCATAATTGGAAAATCATTTTTTTTTGAAAGCTGTGATAGCTGTGTCTGGCCATGGTTGTCCCCACACTCTTAATTAAAAATGCTGTGATAGCTGTGCCTGGTTATGGTTTTCTTAATGTGTTTAAGCAAAAATGCTGTGATAGCTGTGCCTGGCCATGGTTTTCAATCCATATATTAATTTCAATCGGATTTCCTTTGTGGTGGAATACAAAGGAATTCCTTTTGTAGTGGAATACAAAAGGGATTCCTTTTGTGGCGGAATACAAAGGAATTCCTTTTGCGGCGGAATACAAAAAGATTTCGATTGTGGCGGAAAAGAAAGGGATTTCCTTTGTGGCCGAATACAAAGGAATTTCTTTTGTAGCGGAATACAAAGGGATTCCTCTTGTGGCGGAATACACAGGAATTCCTTGTGTGGCGGATTACAGCGGAATACAAAGGGATTCCCTTTGTGGCCGAATACAAAGGGATTCCTTTTGTAGCGGAATGCAAAAGGATTTCCTTTGTAGCGGAATACAAAAGAATTCCTTTTACAAATAGATGCATAGGGAGGGTGCCCAAAAAGCCGCCAGGCTTATTTGGCACCCTCTATGTTCACAAATAGTTGAGGAATCGTCCCCAGACTATTTTCGAATATTCCTTCTGTAGAGGGACATGCCCGACTTAACGCTGGGCGCGACGTGCAATCGAGGAACGGGGCCGGGCGGCGGGGCTGGAACCAGCGGAACGCACCGAGGCCGTCCGCGGGGAGCTGGAGCAGAAAGGGCTCGGAGCATCGCAGCGCATCGCCGATGCCTCGGCGATGTTGCAGAACTGATGGGCACATGTTCCACTACCACTACCATAGGTAGGAGAGGGAGGAGGAGGAGGAGGAGGAGGAGGAGGACCTCCTCATGTTCCCTTCTCACCCGTCCTTCATATGGTAGTGGTGGTGGAACATTTGCCCATCAAGAACACCGGGCTCCTGATCGAAACCGCATCGTCGAGGCGTCGGCGACGCAGCGCGATCCTCCAGCCGATCCGCTCCGACTTCATCTGGGCGTCCTGGAGCTCAGGCCTCGGACGCCGTGATGTGTTCACGACGTCGATCCCCAGAGGCGTCGACCCGTTCCCCGGGAGCGGAGTCTCCTCCTGAGTCGTTTCTGACGGTCCCAGGGCCTGTCGAAGGCCCCCCCACTGCGCCGATCTTTGCAACAACACGTCCGATGTGACTTCTGTCACGACGCCACAGGCCTCGGAAAAATGCAGCAGATGTCGTGCCCCTCCCTTCTCAGTCCCCCCCCTGGCTCGTCCGCCCCGAATCGGGGGCGCGCAAGCATGGATTAGCGATACATGGATTTGGCGCGCAGTCGCCAAATCCATGGATCGAAGGAGGGGCCCTCCTTAAAGTGCGGCCAACGCCGCCTCGTTCGGCGGCGGAAATCCAAGGTTTCCCATGGAAACGGGACCCGTCGCTAATCCACGCCCCCTTGATCCACGTTTGCGAAGGCCTGACCGAAGAGGAGGAGCTGCGCCAGCGGCGGCACGACGGGGGCCAGGCCAGCCCGAAGCCGCCGGCGAGCGCGCCAGCCAGGCCCGAACGGAGGCGCGTCGAAGAACTTCGGGGTCGACTGCACGGCGATGAACCTCGCGAGGCTGCACCTCCTCCTCGTCAAGCCTGCCTCCTCCCACTCCTCACCACACCCCGCCCCTCCTCCTCCATCCTGCCCCTCCTGATCGTCCTCCCTTGTTCTGCCCCTCCACCACCTCCTCCGAGCTCCTTCTCCTCGCCCGCGTCCTCCTGCTCCCTCTCGCTGTTCGCCTTCCCCTCCTCCTCCTCCTCCTCCTCCTCCTCCTCCTCCTCCTCCTTGCCGCTCTCCTTCTGTTCCACGACCTCCTCCTTTGGCTCGTCCTCTTCTGCCCCTTTCACTTCTACCCCACGTCCTCCTCCGAGCGACAGACCGATGGCCAACACTTGTATGTTTCGCGATAGCGGCCGTGACCGGCCCCGCCCCGCCCCCGGTAACGTCACGTTTCGCCCCGGCGCAGTATTGGGAATGCTTGGGGATAGCCAGAGATATCTCGGACAGCAGATGCCTGCTGGGATCTGCTCCAGTGAGGCGCACATGCCTGCGGGGATCTGCTACGGCAGACCCCTTCCCTTCCCCTCCTCCTCCTCCTCCTCTTCCTCCTCCTCCTCCTCCTCCTCTTCCTCCTCCTCCTTTTCCTCCTCCTCCTCCTCGTCGGCGGCGTCGGCGCAGCGCTCCGCCCCTCGTCGTCCTCGCCGTCACCACTCTGCTGCAGGGCGCTGCGCGCCGGGGGCAGGAGAGGAGGGGGGGGAGGAGCTGGCAGGAGGGAGGGAGGAGGGGGAGGAGCTAGGAGCTAGGAGGGAGGGGGGGAGGAGGAGGGGGGGAGGAGGATGAGGAGGGGGGGAGGAGCTAGGAGGAGGAGGAGGGGAGGGGGGGGGGAGGAGGAGGAGGAGGAGGGGGAGGGGGGAAGGAGAGGAGGGGGGGGAGGAGGCGGGAGGAGGGGGGGGGGGGGGGCGCGAGGCAGGCCCAGCGAGGCCGAGAGCGGCCCGTCGGACAGAACACTCCTGCTGTCGAGTCCTCCTCCTCCTCCTCCGCCTTCCTTCCTCCTCGAGGTTTCCTCCTCGAGGTTTCCTCCTCCTCCTCGAGGTTTCCTCCTCGAGGTTTCCTCCTCCTCCTCCCTTCCCTTCCCTTCTCCTCCTCCTCTTTCTCCTCCTCCGCCGCCTCCTCCTCCTCCTCCTCCTCCGCCTCCTCCGCCTCCTCCTCTACAGCAGGAGCTCGGCCACAGAAAACCTTCCACGAGAGACCCAACCCTGAGTCCCCAGGGCGCCCACTGACTTTTGGTGTGGGCACGTCACGCTTTCCACGGGCGAAACCATCGAAACATAAGAATCCTGGGGCAACCTGGAGGGAAACAGGGTGCTTCTTGGAATGGGTTTCCAGACGAGCGCGTTCCACTACTCGCAAAATGGCCCAGATCCGCCGCCGGGGATGTATGATCCACTGTGTATGGGAGGACATGGTTTTGTTAGTTTCTCGGACGTTTGCGAGCGGGCACTTTGCGAGCAGCGGAACGCCGTCGGTGATGCTCTCCCTCCTCCCAACTCCTCCCCCTTCGTCTGTCCTTACGTGAAGCACCTTCCAATGTCATGGAGAAGACGAAGACGGCGAGATAAGGGACGCTACGACGACGACGACGAGAAAGAGGAGGAGAAGGGAAGCGCTCTGCCGCAGAAGATCCCTGTAGGTACGCGCGCTCTGCCACAGAAGGTCCCCATCGGCGACAGCTCTCGAAAACGAAACGGCGATTCTTCTGAGCTTGAAATTTAGCAGCTGCGAAAACGCCTCCGAGACACTGTGGGCTGGAGGCAACTTCAAGCGCGCATCCCTCCGCTCATCGACAGTCCTCCTCCTCCTCCTCCTCCTCCTCCTCCTCCTCCTCCCTTTCCTTTTCCTCCTCTGGCCATAACAAGGGGAAACCAAAAGGTACGGATACCGCTACTCCCCGGTCCTCTCCTGGGGTGCGATCTGACCAAAACTTCGAGGCGCATCCAGCGGCGGCGACGAGGGCCTCCCAACTAAGGCCGCAAACAGGGGAAACGAGCGAAGGAAAGCGGTAGAGAGGGGGAGGAAGCCTCTGAACCCCAGGGCTCCAGAGGTTTCCTCCTCCTCCTCCCTTCCTTCCCCTCTCCTTCTCCTCCTCCTCTTTCTCCTCCTCTTTCTCCCTCCTCCTCCTCCCTCCTCCCTCCTCCTCCTCCTCCTCCTCCTCCTCTCTCCTCCTCCTCCCTCCTCCTCCTCCTCCTCCTCCTCCTCCCTCTTCCTCCTCCTCCTCTTCCTCCTCCTCCTCCTCCTCCTCCTTCTCCTCCTCCCTCTTCCTCCTCCTCCCTTCTCCTCATCCTCCCTCTTCCTCCTCCTCCTCCTCCTCCTGCTGGAAGGGGGGAGGAAAGCCTCTGGAGCCCCAGGGGGCTCTCCCGGAGAGGCAGACGGCTCCCGACGCCGCGTGGCGCGGTTTTACCCGCCAGTCGGAGGAGGGGAGCAGAAGCCTGGAGCAGAGGGCCCAGACGACCCGTACAGTCGGGCTGCTGAAAGAAGGAGAGATAAACACGGAACGATGCCCCTTTTTGGGCCCCACAAGCGCCTGCGTGCACGAGGAAGGCTAGAGGAAAAGCCATAGGACCTAAGAGAGGGCACACCCTGCGAAATGCTCAAGAAATCATGGCTTCAGACATTCCTAGTCTCAGAATTTGCATATAAACCCAAAATTTCTATGACAATCTTAGGATTCACATTGAAACAATAAGTATGGCCGAAAACGAAAGTTTTCTTAAACATCGCCCAGGGTGTACAGACGACCCGTATGGTGAGGATGCACGACAAGGCTGCAAGGGGCCTTGGACGCCCACTTCGAAGCTTTCCGAGCGGAGCGCGGCTGATAGTGACGAAGGACAGTGACGAAGTGACGAAAGAACGGACGCCGCCAACGATAGTGACGAAGGATGGACCGAGGAGGTCAGGATGCAAGGGGACCCTTGGGAAGGTTGCCCATCCTTACCATGCGGGTTGACTGTAAGAACGCGGGTCGGTTGCTCGTCGGTCGGTTACAGTAAATCCGCATAACAAAAAGAATGCGCAGCTTTCCGACGTTACCCTTGCATCCTTGCCCCCTCAGCCCAGCCTCAGCGATTCTCGCTGGCCAACCCCGTTCGAGACGCGTTAACATGGCCTTCCAGGGCCCTTGCATCCTTATCGCGCGTCCTCGTTATACGGGTTGACTGCACCCGTGCGTTACCCGTCGGTCGGTTATCCGTCGGGTACAGTGGGGGCGTTGACCTAAGGAACCCTGAATAAGGAACGAGGCCCCTCTTTTCCATATGTTAAACTTCGACTTCCTATCGAAAACATAAGGGAAACCTGAGGCAAGCTGTGAAACACTTAAGGAACGCGGAGCCCCTCCCCAACGAAAAGGGTTCCTTCTTCGGGGCTCCGACTGTACCCGTCGGTCGGTTACCCGTCGGTCGGTCGGTTACCCGTCGGCCAGTTACCCGCCGGCCGGAAGCAGGAGGGCACTGCAGCAGATTGGGCGTCCGCCCGCCCCCCGAAGAGGAGGGGCCGGGGGCAGCCGCTCGACTCGTGAAGTTGCACGGTCAGCGCTGCCAGACAACGCAGGTCCTTACAGTCAACTGGGGAAAACAAGGACGCGCGAGAAGGATGCAAGGGCGTTCGAAGGCCGTGTCCACACTCTGCGAGCAAAGCGCCCGATGGTGGGCCGGCGGGGAAGGATGCAAGGGTAACCTAGACAAGGTGCGCATCCTGACCATGCGGGGCGACTGTAGATATCTGATAGCGCTCAACCGCTTGCCGCTCGCGCTTGGGTCCCCGCCGATTATGAATGCGGCGCAAACCTGCTGGGGTCGTGGCAATGTCACGGCCGAATGCGAGTGGCCAACCTTGGAGAGTCAATAAGAACCCACCTGTGTTATCAGCAGCACCTCACCGCACAAACAAATTCCAGGGGGGGGGTTAGCCGAAAGATAGCCTTAGCACCACGCCAAACAACAAACAAACAAAAACAAGCAAAAACTCAACTTCCCCCCCGCCAGCTCCATCATCCTCCGGGTGCCAGAATAACGCTTCCCTGTGCAGGTAGTTTTATCCGTTTGCCGAAAGGGAGGGATCTTTAATGACGATCCAGGGTTAGTTTGGGGTTGAGTGGGCCCTCTCTGGGCCCCAGGACCGTCGAAAGAGGCCTCATGATGAAACAACCAGTCCTGGAGAGGAGGTTGAGACCTCTGGAGGTCAAACCCGCGAAACAGATCACGGCGTCGGGGGTCTGGTTTCGATTGGTTCGGCAGCTGATGGCGGCAGCTGTGAATCTGCGACTGATGCAACGGACAAGAAGGCAAGGGCGGCCGAGGCAGAAGAACGCGCAAACCAGAGAGGAGTGACCGTCGCTTCAACGATACCCGCTGGCATGGCACGGGCCCCACTGGCCGACCGAGCCTTCCCCCTGCGCGGAGGGGGTACATGCTGCTCCCATCGGGGGGGGGGCTGGTGGGGCCGAGACACCGTGGGTGGCCCAATGAAGATGGGAATGGGCCCGTCGATACTGAGGGATGACTGGACAAACAAAAAAGTACCACCAAGACCGCTACCCCCCGGACCTCTCCCAGGGTGCGTTCTGACAAGGATTTCGAGGCGAATCCAACGGCGGCGATGAGGGCCGCCCAGGAGACCCCAAAAAAGGAAAGCGGGGGAAGGGCAGCGGTATGGGTACCTTCTTGAATATCGTTCAACCGATCCCTATTCCCACGGGCGTGGCCTGGGCCCCACTGGCCGAGATATCCACCTGGATGGGGATACAGCCTGCTTCCTTCGAGTTTCGAGGGGCATAGTTATCCCCAACTGGAGTGGTGGGATGGTGGGGGTTGGGATGGGGATGGGGGGGGATAGGGATCGGTTTGACGATACTGACTTTCCTCCTCTGAAGGACAGCAACGACGACGACGAAGACGACGAAGATCACCACATCGTGGACATCTGATCCGACAAGCTGCCGTGGCCTTGCGTGCCGATCGGACCGGGCGAAATGGGGGATACCAAAAGGGGGGGGGGGTGAGACTCAGCTCACGCAGCCGACCTTCCCGGCGCCTCCCGGCGCCGGAGGCGGCCGTGCTGCACGCAGCAGATTCCGTATAACCCCCCTGTCCCTATGCCCCCCCTTTCTTTGGAGTCCGGGAACGGTGCGGTGACAGACCGTGCGGTGACCTCGGAATCCCGCACGGTGTGGTCACCACACCGCTTGGGGGCCCCCGACTCTCGTTCGGCCCGAGCCGAATGAGGAGGAGGAGGAGGAGGAGGAGGAGAAAGGAGGAGGAGGAGGAGGCCCTCGGCTCTGCACTCTCCGCGTGCGCGCCGCGCCGCCACGTGTGGCCTCCGACGTGCGCGCTGCCGCCGGGCCGCGGGCGCAGGCGGGCGCGGCGGCCGCCGGCGGCGGCGGATTGCGCGAGGGGGCCTCCGGGGGAGCGCGCCGCGCTCGAGTCTTCGGGGTGCCTCCAGGGCGCCTCGGAGCAGGCCTCCCGCGTTTCGGGCCTCCCGCGTCGCGGACAACAGCGACGTCGACGAATGCCTGGGAAAGCCTTGCGATGCTCCGGGAACCCCTGGAAGAGTCCTTGAGGCACGTGGGGGAAACAGCGTGACGTGATCGGGGGGGGGAGGAGGGGCGGGGGCGATCACGAGCGTTATCGCCCAGACTTTACAAAAAGGCTTCAATCGGCGGCGAGCAAGGGGGGGAAATGAGAAGGAGAAGGCCTTCTCAGAAGGCGGCGGGACTTCTCAGAAGCCCCTCGCACCTTCTGCGAAGTTTTGTTCCGTCTTCGGGGAAGGCTCAGAAAACTTCCCTGAAGGCGGGGGGACTTCCGAACCTTCTGAGAAGGCCTTCTCGTTCTCACTTCCCCTTCTCGCTCGTCGCCGAAGCAAACTGTGAGAAAGCATGGACCAGTAGTCGTTGTCGTCGTAGCTGGGCTTCGCCAACCTGGGTGTGAACTGCGAGAAAGCGCGGGCCACAGCGCCACTTCTGAGCGTGATGATGCATAGGACCAGGGCGCGCACGAACCGTTGTCACCGTCAGTGGGCCTGCATCAGCTTGATCGCAGTTCGAGAGAATCTGGAACGAGAGCGCCGCTCCTGAGTTTGGGGGCATCTCTGGCCAGGACGTCCCGGAGAAACTGTGAACAAGCACGCAACCGCAACCGCTGTCGTCGAGACTGGGGCTTCCACATCCAGGATTTGGAGAAAAGCCCCCGCTCGAGCTGTAGAGTCGCGTTCAGAGAAAGTGCATCCGGCGTTGGGGCGAGAGTCAGGAATCGATTCCATACATCAGTTTCCATACATCAGCAATCATGGTTCATTAAACGCCAACGACGACGAGCACGACGACGACCAAAACGACGACGGCGACGACGACGACGACGACGCTGAAAACGACGACGACGACGTCGAAGAACTTGTGGAAGATGTGGGCCACCAAGAACAACCTCATCAGATTCCGCAACCTTCCGTCACGGGGCGCCGCGGCTACGGGAAGCAACACTGCAATTCTTGGGATACTGAACACCCATGGACCGTGTAGACAAGTGCTTGTCACCGCTGCTAATTGAGATTGAAACCATATTACGCATGGCTAGCTCCCCTGCCATCGTCAAATGACAGCCGTGGCCACCACCAATGAATAAGGAAGACCAAATATTGACTTCCGCCGTGAACGAAACCTATGCCCTAACACCCCCACGCGCACCTGAGACCCCACATCACCAGAAACCCAAACCTGACACCCCAGAAGGCAATTCGTGTTAGCCATCCCCTTCTCCTGCGACGGAGCGATGACGGCAGCGGTGGCGAAGATGACGACCTCGTCGACGACGACGGCGCGTCCCAACACAATGGTCATTGATCAACCCTCGAACCTCGATCTCGATCTTCCTCCCTCTGCGCCCAAATCGAGTCCTCGGACCCGTCTTGGCTCCTGGAGTCCAACATGGGCAGCTTTCGTTTAGCCGAATTGCCTTCAAAAAAGGCGTCGGTTTCGTCGCCCCTTCCCATCCAGAAGCTAGATTTGTTCGACACCTGAAACTCTGGAGTTAGGTCGGGCGTGTCCCCCCACAGGCGGATTTGGGACGAATAATAAAACATAGTCAAGCAATGCTCCCAAAATGTTCAACAATAGTCAAAAATCGTCCCCCCAAACTAGCCCGACTTGACTCTGGACCCCTCAGCCCCTTGCCCTAGCCCCGACTCCACTCCACTCTGCACAGCCTGCGGCTGCCTGCACGAGTCGCCCTATAGGCAAGGGAGAGGCCTTCGGTGCGCGCCTTGCCCGCCGCTGCGTTCGAGGCGACAGCAGCGGAGTGACTACCGGCGTTCGCTTGGGTTAGGTCGGGCCTGTCCCCCTACAAGGGGAGCTTGGGCGAAAAAATTAAGGTAAATGATACAAGAACATTTAAAACATCGTCCCCAGACTATTGCTCTACTTTTTTTGAATATTCCCCCGGTAGAGGGACACGCCCGAATTAAGACTACTGGCGTTCGCTTGGGCTTCGTCCCCCAGCGCCCCCCGAAACCCGCGCACCAGGGGCCAACCTGGCAGAGGGCCTGGAACGGAGCGTTCGTCGGGTGCTGCAAAAAGTGTCCCTGTCCCAACAGGTCCCCAGGATCTCCAGGGAGGCCCAGATGGCCTCCAGAGCACCCCATCACGCGGCCGTGAGGACCCCAGGGGCTTGAAAATAGTGCGAAAAGCTGGGGATGCCTTGGGCCACGACCTGCTCTGGCAACCCCCGCGGGCCCCGAAGCCAGCCCCAAAAGTGAGCGCACCCAAATCCTCCATGGGGGGACCGAAAGATACCAATAGCACTACTACACCACCAGGACTTCGAGGCAGTCCAGCAGTGGCGACGAGGGACGGGTAGCAATGTCGGGATCTCCTCCTCACCAAAGACATCCCACGTCCTGTTCGTTTCTTCGCGGGGTCTCTGGAAGTCCCGACCCTTTCCCCAGGCCCGTGCTTTCATCCCGAGTCGTCTCGTGACTGTTCTGGGGCCCTAGAAACAGAAAATAGCCCAAACCTTCCGTCAAGATCGTCCTCGTCACGAAAGGGTCTGGGCCCATGGCGCCTCTGAGATCCGTGCATTCCCTGGAAGCCGAAAACGGCCAAAAACCATCCGCCGCGAGCTGCGTCACGACGCGAACGTGTCTGGGGCCAGCGCGGCGGAAGGCGTCCTCGTGGCCGCCAGCGGCGGCCGTCGAGAGCGGCCCGCCCCGGCGGGCCGCAGAGGGAGGGCGCCCAGAGGGGCCGGGAGCGGCGCGAGCGCCTGCAGGCCAAGAGAGAATGCCGGGCGAGCGACCAACACGGAGGGGTCTTGCGCAGGATGTCACGGGGCGCACGAGCGCACACTTGAGCACGATGCGTCCTCTTCGGAGGCGTGCGCCCGACCCGAACATATGGTGCAACCATTTCATCGCAGCTCATTTCCCGAGCGGCATGGCCAGAAAACGCCCGCCACGGAGCTCGTAATTCAAGATCTCTCGGCGCGCGCGTCGCCCATTAGGGGGGGACGCGCACAGTTAGGATTGAGTAAGTCGGTGTGACGCCGATGTCATAGCGGCCTTACCAGAGGCCTCCTAGATGGGGTCAGAGTAGATGGGGTCAGAGGATGGCGCCGCATGCATCGGCGATCCATCAGCGACGTCGGCGAGGCATGGGCGCCGCCGGCGAGGAGAACATCGGGCTCCACATCGAGCCGCATCGACGATGCATCGTCGATGCGGCGCGATCCTCCGACTTCATATACCAGGACCCCATCCAGGAAGCCTAGAGACGCACATAGTTAGTATGAATAAGACGGTGTGACACCGATGTCATTTGAGCAGGGACCGACCGTCCCGGCATTCCTATAGGCCTGCCACGACATGTTATCAGAACCCAATAATATTCGAACAACAAAAACGATGATCTTTTAACATAATCCCGATGTGCTAAAGCAATACAGTCTCAGCCAGATATGTTCTAAGAGCATTTCGCGCAGACCACAAAAGGTTCTTAGCACATGTTGTGGTGGGCCTATGGGGCAGCCATGACGCTTCGCCAACGCTTGAATCACAGCGAGCTTACGCGGGACGCTGACGCGCCAGTGCCGTTGAAGACAACCCAGCCCTGGCCCCGGCCCCGGCCGCGCGCGGCCCCGGCCCGGGCCCCAGGCCCCTGGCCCCGAGCTCCCGGGAGGGGCCGCCGGGGTCCCGGGGGAGGTCCCGCCAGCAGGGTCGGCGGCACTGGTCGAAAGGCCTTCTGAGAAATTACGAGGGAAAATGTTCCGCTATTTTCAGCCTCCTGGGGCCCTTCCCGTCCCTCGGGACCGTCAAAAACGACTCAGGATGAAAAACCTGTCCCCGGGAAGGGGTCTAGACTTTTGAGGGGCACGTCATGAACAAAAACACGACGTCGGGGGTCTGGGAAGGGGTTTTGCGCACGATTTCACAGCAACCTTACGCAGGACGCTGACGCGCAAACGTCGGCGAAGACCACCCCCCTCTCTTGCGTCGGCGACGACGGCTCGGGTGCGCACCTGGCATCCTCACGAGCGCCGGCAGAGTCTCGCGGCCGCCGCCGCCGCCAGAGGCGGCGAAGAGCGAAGGCAGGCCCGAACTGGATCGGATCGCGAAAGACCGGATCCAAAGGCGCCTAACTTCGCGGCCTCCAGGGCGCCCTTGAGATCGGAGCGGAAACAGATCGGATCGCCAGCGAATCGCCCCGAATCGACTCGAAACCGGATGGCCAAACCCAGCTCCAGCAGGCTCTGGCCGATGCCAGTGGATCTGGCCAGATCGGAACGAATAGGAACCGCAGCACCAGCCTGCGAATCGAATCGCATCACGTCGCATCGTAGGCCGTGGACCCAAGAAATGGATGCGGACATGGATACAAAACAAACATGCTGTTCCACACCAACAGCGGCCGCTTTTGGGCAGGCGCCATTCGACAATGTCCGCGGCGAGATCGAACAGCGAATCCACTCGAAATGAACAAGAACTACTGTTGGTCTTCGTACCCTGTATTCCCGTACCGGTTTCGATCTCACAGAGACATTGTCAAAGGTGCCCCTGGCCCCATCCAGGCCACCCCCTTGCGCCCCAGAGGGCCCCCGGGGATCCAAGCGGGGGCGAAAAGCTGGGGGGGCATTTGGGCCAGGGACACATGTCTTGAGAGATAAAACACAAACTGGATATATGATCCCCGGGTCGAGACCCCTCCCCCCCCCAGATGGGATGGGGAGGGGACAGCGGGAACGACGACGACGCCGACAGGAATACGACGACGAAGACGACGACGACGATAGCAATGACGGCGGCGGCGGCGGCGGCGGCGGCGACGACGATGACGACGACGACGACGACGACGACGGCGGGGGCGGGGGCAGTGGCGATGGCGGCGAAAACAACGACGACGACGACGATGGCGGCGGCGGCGGCGGTTGCGGCGGCGACGGCGACGACGACGACGACGAGCCACCCCACACCCCAGGTGGAGGGGGGGGGCACGGGCACCCAACACCACGCCACGCCCACAGGGCAACGACCACAGCGGTGGAGGAGGGCGATCCCATTCGCGAAGTCTTCGCGAGGCTCACGGGCGTACCCATGCAGCAGGGGCGGCCGATCTCATCAGCGTTGGGGGGGGAGGGGCCTTGGAGTATATACAGACATGTTTGAAGCTCCGAGCGGATTTCCTGGATCGGCGCTGGGCCCTCCTCTCTGGCGCTCGGAGTGCGCCAGGGGCGGCGCTGGAGGCGCCTCCAGGGGGGGGGCCCAGCGCCGATCCAAGGAATAAGCGCGGAACTTCAGTTGAAATTTACGCTGCTTTTTCCTGTACGACTCTTAGGGTCCATAGCGCACGGGGCGATCCGATTCGATATCGGTTCTGGCCGGCCCGGTCCGAATCGCGTCAGATGCTTGAGCAGGGACCGACCGTCCCGAAATTACTAAAGTCCTACCACGAAATTTTCTTAGAACCCGAAAATGTTCGAACAACAAGAACAATATTCTTAGAACATAAGCCCGATGTTTCAAAACAAGGCAGTATCAACCAGAAAAGTTCTAAGAACATTTCGTGGAAACCACAGTAGGTTCTTAGAACATTGTTTGGTAGGGCTATAGGCACGCCGGGACGCTTCGCCACTGCTTGAGATACTCAGTGTCCTTTTCGATCATACCGGCAAGCGGCTCATGGAAGCCGGCTCGCCCCAGCAGGCGCGGAGAGCGGAGAGGGCGCCTGGCAAGCAAGCAAGCAAGTCTGGCTGGGCGACTCGAAGAGCCGCACGCCACATCAATGGGGACGAATTCAAAAACTGTGAAACAGCAAAAACGACTACCTGTGCAAAAGACGAACAACATCCCTCACAGACAGAGTACTCGGCGTCGCGCGCGGCGATTATGCCTCGCGGGTGAACCCTCGTTGGACAGCTGAACGGCAACACACAACTTCTTACACACCGTGAGAGAAGGGGGAGGAGGAGGAGGAGGAGGAGGAGGAGGAGGAGGAGGAGGAGGAGGAGGAGGAGGAGGAGGAGGAGGAGGGCGCCTGGCATTGGAGCGGAACAGGTCGCTCTCGCTGATGCCTCGCTCGGGGCTATCGGGAAGGCTGGGTTCAGAGCCGAGGGCCAGCCGCCGTTGTGTTCGTCGCCGCCGTCGCCGTCGCCGTCGCCTTTCGCCGTCGCCGCCGCCTTTCGCCGTCGTCGTCGTCGTCGTTGTCGTCGTGGTCGCCGTCGTGGTGGTCGTCGTCGTCGACGTTGTCGTCCTCGTCCTTGTCCTCGCCCTCGCCGTCGTCGTGCTCGTCGTCGGCGTCAAGGTCGACATCGTCGTTGGCATCGTGCTCGTTCTGTTGTCGTCGTCCACGTCCTCCCCTCACCGAACTCCTTGTGCTCGTACTAATCATCCACCACCTCCTCGTCGTCCCCGCCCCTCTTCCAGGAGTCCCTCAAGAGGCCCCTGAGGAGCCCCCAGCAGGGTCCGAGGAGCGTCCTACAGGTTCCAGGAAGGTCCCCGGACGGTCCCACTCTACCCTCTTCGTTTCCCTCAGTTTTGTGTGTACCCTCCCTCATCTTTCTCTATTCGTACTTACCTACATGTCGCTCAGATTGTGAAACTGTAATGTGGGTTAGCTGTTGACGACGCAACCCCAAAACTAAACAATGCAAAAAAAATGTGTTCGCTAGCGAGCGATGATTCTGCCAGCCCCTTGCCAAATCTCGATAGCGCACAGAGGGAACGGAGTGGTTCACCGCAGGCGCCGCAGCCAAAAGAGAGCTCACCGATACCGATTTCAAGACATCACATCCAGTGCGTGTCGCCAAATATATGCCTGCGGCCAGGAAGAACGTGAAAGCACCCCACCCGACGAGCCACGATACCCAGACATGCGACGTCATGATGTTTGTTCAGTGCGGGGTCCCTGGAAGTCCCGATCCTTTCCCCGGGTCCAGTTTTTCATCCTGAGCCGTTTTTTGAAAGTCCCGAGGCCCGGCAAGGGTCCCCCGAGGCCGAAAACGGCCAAAAACTTCCCGTCCTGATTTTTTACGACGCGAGCATGCCTGGGTATGTGAATCTCATGGGGTAAAGCCACCCATCTCTGTCTCAATGGTCTTCCTCCGCTGCCGCCGCGACTGACTGGGGAGAGAAGGCCGGACCAGAACTTCGAGCTGGATGCAGCCGTGGCGACGAGAAGCCTACCAGAGGGCTCAAAAAGGCCCCATGGAGGAGGAGGAGGCGGAGGAGGAGCAAGAGGACGAAGACCACAGCCCATGGTCGTGCCTGGCCCCGAACCCGAGACTCGTGGCCCAGGACGCCGACCCGCCAGAGATGTCCTGGACGTGGACCCCCCGGGCCCAGACCAGGGGCCCCGCCCGGGAGCCCAGGACACAGAACCCCGATGACCACAGCCGACCAGGGGCCGAGGACCAGGGAACCACTCGGGAGCCTGGACCGTCCCCCCGCACCTCCCCAGCCACTCCGACAACCGCCCGACCAGATGCCCAGGCCCGGGGGCCCCGCAGGGTTGATCTTTTGCAGAGTCTCGGAGCCTCAGAGCCCCGACGAACCCTCTGGACCCTCTGGGCAACCTCTGAGAGCATGGCGGCGCGAGGAAGAGGGGGCCCATGAACATCGCTCGACCGATCCCTAGCATTGGGTCGGGCATGTCCTCCTACAGGCGGACATGGAAGAAAAATTGAGGAAACAAATGTGTACGTAATGTTCATATATATATACACACCGAGATATAAAACAACAAGAATATGACTATTCCTCTCACCGGCGTAACCTGGGCCCCACTGGCCGAGTTGCCTCCCTAGATGAGGATTGATCATGCTGTGCCCTTCGGGCTTTGCGGGGAAGATCCCCGACTTGGGGGTGGGGGGGGCGATGACGGGGCTGAGATCACATCGCCTTCAGTGGCAACTCACGCGAGCCTCCCCTACCATCTGGTCGGCTCTTCCGAACCGACGCTAGTCGACGCGAGATCGACGCTAATCGACGCTATTCGACGCTAAATCGGCGCTCTCTGATCCACTCCCAGACGCTAATCGATGCCAGTCGACGCTAAAGACGGAATCGAGGCGGTACACACAGCTCCCAGGCTTTGCTACCGAATCGAACGACTCTGCACTTGCAGGACAAGCGCATCGGTCGCCGTAAGCCGCAACTGCCAACACGCCGTCACGTCTAGAGCTCTGTGCGGCGGGGTCGCTGGTCACAAGACTTACTTAAGTCGGGCCTGTCTACAGGGGGATGTTCGACGAAACCTAAAAAAAACTCAACCATACTCCACAATGGACAAACAAATACTCAAAAAATCACCCCCAGGCCATCTTTGGGACTGTTGCTGAATTTCCCCCCCTTTAGAGGCTCAGGCCCGACTGAAATCTAGAGCTCTGTGCGGCGGGGCCGCTGGTCACAAAGACCGGGGGGTCGTTGGGAGTGGTCGCGCTCGTCGGCGCCGTCGGCGCCCCCTCCGCGCGGGCCCCGGAGGCCGACGGGGAACTCCCAGGAGAGAGCTCAGCCAGCTCCCACGGCGGCCCCAAGTCGGCGCCCCTCGACCGGGGGCTCAGGTCGGGCCTGTCCCCCACACAGGGGGATCTTGGACGAAAAAATCATAGATGCCAGAAGATAAATCTCAAAACATGTTAAGAACGTAATCGAAAAATCGTCCGCAGACTATTTGTTTAAACTATTTTGAAATACTCTTTCTATAGAGGGACAGGCCTGGCACTTTGGCCAGCGACCCGGCGAACCCAATCCTCCCCGATGTGGGCAACGCTGCAAGGCCAGAAAGAGGCCCTGACACGCTTTGGGGGAATGTGCCAAAATACCCTCATCGTGAGTTTCCGCTACGGCTCTGGAGGTAGGAAAAGGGGTATGGTACAAAAGGGTGTGGCGTGAATGTTAGGTCAAGGGGGCTCTGGCGATGCTATATATCTATCGCAGATAGCATCGCCATTTCCAGGATTGGCACCACACCCCTTTCTGCCGCACCCGTTTCCAACCTCCAGGACGGTGCCCATTCCAGCCTTTGGCTTGTCCAGAACGCTTGCGTGTTTCTGCGTGCCAGGGCGCCCTGCGGCCTCTGGCGCCTTCAGTGCACAGGGTCTTCCCACGCAAGCAGCTAGAAGAGTGCCTCTGCTGCTGTCCGTTGCCTTGTCGCCGGGCATGGCCCTGCTGCCTAGTGCCGCCCGCAAAGACGGGGCGAGTGCGTCCTGGCATGGCCCCAAGATGCCCCGAGGCGGCCCGCGAGGGGGCCCGAGGATCGGCCGCGCGCGGGCGCACCAGTGCCAAATTGGGACGCTCGTGTGCCGGCCGCTGCTCGTGCCTCCTCGCCGCGGGCTCCAGTGCAGGGCACCCCCCGCACACATCTGTGGTGATGACGATGGTCGTGGTGATGAGGATGAGGATGACAGCCGTGATAGGGGACGAGGAGGAGGGGGAGGAGGGGTAAGAGGAGGGGGAGGAGGAGGGGGAGGAGGAGGAGGAGGAGGAGGAGGAGGAGGAGGGGGAGGAGGAGGAGGAGGAGGAGGAGGAGAGGGAGGGTAATGATGATGATGATGATGAGGAGGAGGAGGAGGAGGAGGAGGACGAGGACGATGACGACGATGACGACGATGATGGTGATGGTCACGAGGATGGCGATAACGGCGAGGGTAATGGTGATCTGTCCGCCTCCCGACGTTCTCGTAGTTCTGGGCCCTTACCACCGGAAATCCAAAAACTCGGAAACAGAACTGCTGGAGGCCGAAGCGTTGAACGTCTCAGCGCCAGGTCTCGCAAGGGCGTCTGGGGAGCCGTACCTGGCCTCTTTTGAGCTGGCTGCCTCGGGGGGTCATCATTGGCCAGAGGGCTCGACATGGCAATTCGGGCCCCTCCCAGGCATGTCTTTGGTGGGGCTTCTTGGGGTAGCAAGAATGCCACAACGTCGTAAAGCGAAAAACTCCCGACCCAACGGATCGACATGCGAGTGCCGCAAGGAACGTCCGTCGTGACTCTTCTGGGACGCCACCAAGTCTGTGTGACTTCCTCCTCCTCCTCCTCCTCCTCCTCCTCCTCCTCCTCCTCCTCCTCCTGCGCCTCGTTCCCAAAGGTTTCGCCCACTTCGCACCAAACGAGCGACGTTTTTTTTCGTGGCCTCGATCCCCGAGTCCCCCTCCTCGTGGCCCTGAGGGCGCCGCCTATCTCGCACCACACGAGCGCAGTCCCCCACACCGAGAGGAGGAGCACGGCGAGGTAGGTGGCCTCGAGCCCCCTGGCGGCAGGACGCGCGCGGGATGGCAGGGGGGGAAAGAAGAGGGAGGACGAGACCAGCCAGCATCGAATCGGCAGATCGGACCCCATCGGAACGCGCGCCGGATCGGGCTGCACCAGCACGAACCGGAATCGAGTCGGCCTGGATTCGCGGCGACGACGACGACGACGACGACGACGACGACGACGACGACGACGACGGCGGCGACGACGACGGCGGCGGCGACGACGACAACGGCGGCGACGGCGACGACGATGACGGCGGCGACGGCGACGGCGGCGGCGACGACGACCGCGGCGACGACGGTCTGACTCGGTCTGAGACATCGCCGCGGGCGGGTCCGGCCCGTCCACCGCGGCGGGCGGCCAGAGCGGGCGCTGCGCACGCGTCGCCCAGCTCAACTCCCCCACCTCTGAAGGCTTCCTGATGCACAACAGCGCCATGCAAACATCGGAACGCACTGGATCATCGGAATCCCAGCAGCCCCTGGGAACGAGTGATTTAGCGAGCTTCCTCTTCCTTTTTCGGGGAGGGGTTTACCGTTGTTCCCTGTTAACAAACACCCCCTCCGCTTAACGTCCCCGCTGGAAAGAGTAACGAAAATAAACACATAGTGAAGAACAAAAAAACACCTCGCCTCCCAAACTGGAGCGTGCGAGAGCGACCTGCGACCACTTTGCATTGGTGTTTGACGGGGACGGCGGGGGTGCCGGCATCTTGCTTGCTGCGCACAGGCCAAAGCCCCACCCCAACCCACCACCACCCCTTGGCAAAAAACAGCACAAACTGGACTTTGCACCAAAATCTGGATCATGCGTGGACGCCCCGCGCTCACATTGCAGTGTTTTGGACAGGGGGGGGCGGGTGGGGCTGGCAGATTGCCTGCTGCGCGCGGCCGCACCCTCGCTTTCGAAAGAAAAGAACCAAGCTCGGTTTGCCAGGGACTGCGGGGCGGGAGGGCGGCATGCTGCCAGCTGCGCGCCAGCTCGCCAAAGAAGCAACTGCAAAGCGATCGTGGGCAGACGCGCGCACACAACAAACCTAAACCCGCCGTCACTTTCACGGGTTTTTGACAGGGACGGCGGGAAGGTCGACATAATTGCCCAACCTAGCGCAACGGCTGCGCGCGGCGCAGCTGGCATTGGCGGCGCACCACGCGGGCTTCGCGCACCTGGCTGGCGTCTGCATTGGGAGAGAGCGAGACGGCTTGTGGGCGGTGGGGGTAGCTTGCCCCCTCCCCCATCCTCCCACCCCTGGGCCCGGAAGGGACGCGCCGCGACCGCTTCGAGCGTCAAGTAAGGCCTCAGCGAGAAGGCACACATCACTTCGGTTCTGGTCCAAGTTTGACTGCCCTGTGACCGCCAGACACCCCCAACATAGAAAGATTCAAATGAACGGCGCCTGGGTCATTTGCAAACTGCGCGCACCCTCTGGCACGTCATGCGCCAACGTACGCATGCGAGGTATAACGGGGCGAAGGCCGCGCCCCACATTTCAAGTGAAGTTGCTTGGTAATGTCCCAGCTGCTTACTTTGTAACGCACTGCATGGCGAGATCACGGCGGGCGTCGCTTGCTTGGACGCGCGCCGATTGATTCCTTCGTCCTAGAGCTTTCCTGGAGGACACCTACACAATGCGTGGGTACTTGGTCTGATTCGCCCTTGTTATTCGTACGTATAGGTGCTGTTCCCAGCTCATGTTCACGATCCTGCCCCAGGCCGTGGCGGCCGTGCGTTGTCAATCTTTCGCAACGCTTGCGCTGCCACCCATACGCGTGCCGCATGTCGCCGCGAGCCTATCCCGTTACCCGCGCCTCGGTTACGTTGCGTTGGGCCCACGCTCAATCATCCCGCGCGGTGCGTTGCAATATGCAATGAACGCGTGACTGGGCTTGACATGGCCGGGAATCGTGCCACGTGTTCCGATCAGTCATTGCTGGTTCCGTCGATGCTCCGAGGGGGAGAGAGGAAAACGGGGATGGGCTAGGAGGAGAGAGGAGGAGGAACACGAGATGGAGGAGGAGGAGGACGAGGAGCACTACGACGAGGAAGGAAAGACAGACGCAGGAGGGAGACGGAGGAAGGAAGTGGAGCGAGGGGAGCAGGACGTGAAATGACGTGGCTTGGGCGATGCATCTCGCCCGCTCGTTCGGGGAAGTCGCCGTCGCCGCTGCCTTTGTCGGAGTCGTACTGGGCCTTATCAGGGCTTCGTAAACCACTTCGGGCGCTCTCCGGGCGCACCCTGACGTTTTTGTTTGTTTTGGGCCTCTGAAACATGGATTTGGTATCCTTCGTCTGCCGCGGGAGCCCTCAATTTTGCCGCCCAGGATGTTTCTGGAAGGTGCTCATGCCAGCTCAGGGGCCTCTCGGGGGCTGCTGGGCTGCCCCGAGGCCCGAGGCCCGGGGCGGGCCTTCTTGGATGTCCGCCGGGCGTCCCTCGGGTTGTCCTGGCTACATACTGGGAACTCATCTGGGGGCATCCTGGGCCGTCCCAGGGGATGGCCGGGAACGCGAAGAAGGCGGTGCCAGGATTTCTTGGCCCTTCGGGAGCAACCTCAGAAGCTACAAATGGCCAAGCCTGCTCTGTAAAACGACCGTGGTTGCACAGTGGCGTCTCCCGTTTTTAGGGGCGAGCACTGGACGTCCCGAGCCGTGTTGGGGGCCTGTTGGGTCGCATTGGCGGCATCCTGGAAACCGTTCAAGCCTTCAAGGGAGCGTCGCTCGGAGGCGTCTTGGGCAGGCGACGGTCGTCATCGGGCATCCTAGATGTTTTTAGAGCGCCTCCTCGGATCTTTGGTGGCCTCGCCAGTAACTTGAAACCGCGACGGGGTTGTGTTTGGCCTTTGGGGAGCTCGTCAGGAAAAACATCGAGGGAACAGTGCAGAACGCCTTGGTCTCTGAGGGCCATCTGGGAAACAGTAAACACCAACAACATACGTTGTGCCTACGGCAGGGCTTACACGTCGGAGGCTCTGGCCTTGCAACTGATGTTCTTTTTTTTGAATGGTGACTGATGGTGACACGAAGCGTTTGAATCGTTGCTGGGAAAGGCCTCGCCTTGAGGAGACGAACGGGCGCCATCAAAGAGCGCCGTCACCCAGAGTGTCGCGCAGTCGGGGCGGCAGTCACCAGGGGCGCGCAGCGTCTCGGCGTCGCGCTCGTCAGAGGCAGGATGCTCGGCAGGGCGACGTCCGCGCTGCTGTTTGCATGATGTTCGGGTTTTCTGGATGGCGCCGCAGGGCCTGAGGCGACGGCGCTGGCGGATTTGCGTTAAGGCGGTCCCACATCTGAATTTCCAGATTGGCCCTGTCTGAAATTCAGAGTGGGCCTGTCTGAATTTCAGATTGCCCCCCCTGGGGGTCTGCCCATAGGCGTTTTGCTCGATACTTCCACGCTGAAGCTATTCAGATTGGCCCTTGCTGAAGTTCAGATTGGCCCCGTCTGAATTTCAGATTGGGCCGTTCTGAAATTCAGATGTGGGGGCCGCCGCCTCGGCGCCGAATTCGGCCCAGGCGCCGTTTCCAGGAAGCCTGGCGTGAGTTTGAGATCGCCGCGCGGAGATACGGAAGGAGGACGACGACAGGCTCGCGCAAGGTATCTCCGAACCATCCTGTGATGTTGGGTCCTCGTTTTGAAAAGATAGCGCCCCGCGTCTCCTCCCTGCGGCCCCCCTTCTCTCACCCCCTCTCCTCATCCCCTCCCTCATGTCCACTTCGTCGTGCCTCTCGCGAAGATCGTGGCCCCATGGGAAGCTCCCCCGAAAAGGCCCCAGTAGCACCGTCCGCACGCGGGCTCCACACCCCTTTCGGCGCACCGCTCACGAGGATCGCAGCCCCTTAGGGAGCTCCATCGAGGTCCCCAGGCGGCAGCGTCCTCACGCGGGCTCCGCATCCATTCCGGCACACCCCTCGCGACGATCGCGGCCCCATGGGGAACGCGGGCTCCGCATCCATGTCGGCAAGCCCCTCGGAAGGATCGTGGCTCCGTAGGGAGCTCCGCTGGGAGCCCCAGGCGCGGGGTCCGCACGCGGGCTCCGCATCCACTCCGGCACACCCCTCGCGAGGACCGCGGCCCCATACGAAGCTCCACCGAAGGCCCCAACGGCGGGGTCCGCACGTGGGCGCTGCACCCATTTTTTGGCACGAACGGAATGGTTACGGAAAGAATGGGTACGATGCCCAACAGCGGTTCCTGTTCATTTTGAACAGGACTCGCTGTCCACTCCGCCGCGGCCTGTGTCCATTCGAGACAGAAGGCCGCCTGCCCAACAGCGGCCGCTGTTGGTTTGGGACAGCATTTGTCGTTGGGCATTGTACCCATTCTTTCCGTACCCATTTCGGGCGTCCTAAATTTTCGGCACACACCTCACGAGGACCGTGGCCCCATAGAGAGCTCCACCCGAAGCCCAAGGCGCGGGGAACGCTCGCGGCCCCGCAGGGAGCTCCACCCAAGGCCCCAACGGCAAGGTCAGCACGTGGGCTCCGCACCCGATTTCAGTACACCCCTCACCAGGACCGTGGCACCACAGCTCCACCGAAGGCCCCGGCGAGTGCCCCAGCGGCAGGGTCTGCATGTGGGCTCAATGGCGCACCCCTCACGAAGATCGCGGCCCCATAGGCAGCTCCACCATGACGAAAGACCAGTGCGCGCGCGGCGGCGCCTTGCTGCTTCGTCCGTCGGGACGCCGAAACGTGAAGGCTTGGCCGTTGGATATCAGCGGATTTCGCACTCATGGAAAGGACTTGCGGAGTCTACGCGGTGCAATCTACGTGGTGAAATCATCATTTGCTCAGCTTGAAATTGTCCACTCCACTACTCGCGCAAACATCCCACCCACCCACACGCAACTTGGTCGCAAGACCTCTTAAGACCGTGACGATATGCACCAAATGGCACATGGCAACGACACCGACGCCGACGAAGACAGCGACAACGACGACGCCGACGCCGCCGACGACGACGACGACTACGACGACGACGACGACGACGACGACGACAACG